CTTTGGTTCACAGGCTGACTCAATCCACTGAGCCAAACCAGCGAGGGCTATATGTGTGATCTTACCAAAAAGTAAACTGATGAATAAAGTAGAACCTGTGGCATGGAAACATGGAATAGAATGAAGAGTCTCAGAGGGAAGAGGGAAGGGGGAGTGGAAGAGATTAATTAAAGAATTTGCATTTATATATGCATTGTCCATGGACAGAGACAATAGGGTGATAAGAACTGGGGTGAGGTGGGAGCTTAGTGGAGGGAGCAATTGGGAAAAAAAGGCAACATCTGTAATACTCTACAGTAAAAAAAAGAATAGAAAAAAATGAATGGAAAAATATGTATTTTGACATATAAAAGGAATTTATAAGGTTATCTGTATATAATTTACTAGTACTAGGTGTACTGGTTAATAATGGTGGATTTTGTAATCAAAGAAAACACGATAATCTCAAGAGAAACATCAAAAGTGCCTTATTCAAAATAATGTCCATCGCTAGCTACACATTTCCTCCATCTTTCAGGTAATTTGTGGATACCATCCCATAGAGCTTTTCTTGTTTTGGGGCAAACCATTCAGAGACCCAATTTTCCACTTCTTTGTACTATGTTTTGAAGTGCTGGTCAGAAACTGCTGTGCCATCGATTGGAACAAGTGGGAATCTGAAGGAGCAAGGTCTGGTGAATACAGCGGGTGGGTTAATACTTCCCAGACCAGATCTTTTAACTGGTTTAGAAGTGTGTGATGGTGTGTTATCATGAAGCAAAATTACTTTGCCATGTCTTCTGGCATATTCTCGTCATTTCATGATCAAAGCGTGGTTCAAATTGATTATTTGTTGTTGGTAGCAATCAGTAATAACTGTTTGACTTGGTTTTAGGAGCTCATAGTACACACCTTCCAGATCCTACCAAATGCAGAGCATTGTCTTCTCTCCAAAGCGATTTGGCCTTGCAGTCAATGTTGATGGTTAATCTGGATCAACCCATGATTTTGTGCATTTGTGATTCTCAAAATAAATCCACTTTTCATGACCAGTCACAATCGGATGCAAAAGAGACTTTCGTGCCGTTGAACTAACATTTTACTGATGACTTTTCTGTTTTCCATTTGTCTTTCGTTCAATTGATGTGGCACCCATTTTCCTTCCTTTAAGATCTTCCCATTGCTTGCAAATGATTGGAAATTGTTTGCTGAGCAATGTTTAATCTTTCTGCAAGTTGTTTTTGAGTTGGACATACATCTTCATCCAATAATGATTGTAATTGTTAGTCTTAAACTTTTTCGGGTGACCTGGACATTCTTTGTCTTTCACATAGAAATAATCACTTTTAAAGTATTTAATGCAGCTTTAAAGTATCTTGAGATGGAGCATGTTCACCATAAGCTTCCTGAAGTATACGATAACTTTTTCTTCAAAATAAAATAATGAATTATAACTTCCCTCATATGTTCTTTTTCTGGCACAAAATTCAATATTTTTAAGTATAAAAATATGATGTTAACAACAGCAAATTTGACATATGAAGTCTTGAAACTTGCTGTCAATACAACAAAATAGCATACATATCAAATTGCATATATATTAACATATGTGTAACTCCATCTAGTGAAAAAAATCCGCATTGTTAATTGGTACATGTAGTATTTTGAAAGCCACAGATACCTACCTTGCTTATAGATGATTACAGATGTATATATACCCTCAGACACATATGCCTGTATAACAATGTTTATTTAGTAATTGCTGTATTCCAGACACTGGTCTCAGTACTACATTTAACACATTAAGATCTATAATAATAAAAGTATAATATGCTAATTAGAAGGGACAGCCAAATGACCTTCCAGCTGTCATTCTGGACATCCTTCCAGATGAAGCCGAGGCAGAGGAGGTTAGGGGTGATCAGGGGCGATTAGGCAGGCAGATGAGTAGTTAGGGGTAATCAGGCAGGCAGGCAGAGGGGTTAGGAACGATCAGGCAGGCAGGCAAGCAGTTAGGGGCATCAGGCAGGCAGGCAGAATGGTTAGGGGTGATCAGGCAGGCAGGCAAGAGGTCCCGGATTTCGAGAGGGATGTCTGACTGCTGGTTTAGCCCAATTCCTGCGGGATTAAGATCGGGCCTAAACCAGCAGTTGGACATCCCCCAAGGGGTCCTGGATTGCAAGAAGGTGCAGGCCAGGCTGAGGGACAACCTTCCCTGTGCATGAATTTTGTGCACCAGGCCTTTAGTGTCTAATAATAGCTCCTTTAAATTCTTACAATGTCCTAATGAGGTACTCAGGAACAGAGAGTTGAAGTAACTTGTCTAAGATCCCAGAGCTAGAAAGTGTCCATATTTAATAAAACTGGAGACTCTGACCCTAGAATCTGCCATCAGTATGTACCACAATGTTTTCCTTAGGGGACCCTAGAAAAGTAGATTTCTAGGGCAGTTTTTGAATTTGATATCCTTATAGTTTTCCATCTAAATATCTACCAAGTAAATGAGGTATCAGTTTATGTTTATATTGTTGAAACTGGAAAATCTCTTTTTTAAAAAAAAGAAGCTTTTCAAGCCTGATTGTTGATATTTAGAGCCTACATAGGCAACGTAAATGAATAGTATACATTTTGAAAAACAAGAAGAAAACATGAAAATGTAATGCAGAAACTATTCTCAAAAGCTCAGAATATTCAGTATAAGTATGCTGGTCAATTGCTACCCGCAAGGCTATTTAAAGAGACATCGAGGTCTGCTGTGCTGGAACCCAAGGACTGGCTTCAATATTTAATAGGGTTGTAACATCTTTCCAGCAAACGAATGAAGCTAATTATAATGGCTACCCTTGGTCCTATTCTTTATGGGTGAGCAGTTTTTTATGGAGGGCCCTTTTGGGAACTGTTTCTCATTACAACACTCTGGGTCTGCAAACATCAGCATACCTAGCTGCTCTGAGACACAACTCTCGTCCCTATCCTCAATACACAGATTAAATTCCCCCCTCACTGTGCATCAATTAAATGCAAACCAACACCTTGCTTCGTCAGCCTATAGAGGACTGTGTTGTGCAGAATGCTGAATGCTGGCAAGCAGCTTCTGTCTCTGGGCCAGTGTCCCATTTGTTTGGGGCAGGCAGTTTTTCTCCTCAGGATGAAAACAGGGTTTTGCTTCACCTTAAAAAAAAAATAAAAAATAAAAAAAATATATATATATATATATATATATATATATATATATATATAGTTGTCCTGACCAGTTTGGCTCAGTGGATACAGCATCGGCCTGCAGACTTAAGGGTCCCAGGTTCGATTTCAGTCAAAGGCATGTACAGTGGGGGGTGCAGGAGGCAACTGATCTGTGTTTCTCTCTCATCGATGTTTCTAACTCTCTATCCCTCTCCCTTCCTCTCTGTAAAAAAATTAATAAAATATATATATTTTAAATGTTTTTTATTGATTTTTTTAGAAAGAGAGAAAGAGAAAGGGAGAAGGTGAGGAGGGGGTGAGAAAGAGAGAGAGAGAAAGAGAGAGAGAGAGAGAAAGAGAGAGAGAGAGGAACATCAGTGAGGAGAAACATTGATGGACTGCCTCCTCACACCCTCTACTGGGGGTTAAGCTGGTAGCCCAGGCATGTCCCTAACTGGGAATTGAACTAGCAACCTCATGGTGGTGTGCTTGCATTTTATTTTATTTTATTTTATTTTATTTATTTTTTTAAATATATTTTTATTGATTTTGTACAGAGAGGAAGGGAGAGAGATAGAGAGTTAGAAACATCGATGAGAGAGAGTCATCGATCAGCTGCCTCTTGCACACCCCCTACTGGGGATATGCCGGCAACCAAGGTACATGCCCTTGACCGGAATCGAACCCGGGACCCTTCAGTCCCCAAGCCGATGCTCTTATCCATTGAGCCAAACCGGTCTCGGCAATGTGTGCTTGCATTTTAAATTAAGCTTTATAGCAATAGAATTATTGAGATTCTACTGATCCCAATTTCAAAAGAATAAAACTTCTCTCGCCAATTGGCTTGGTGGATAGAGCAACAGCCCATGGACTGAAGGATCTTGGGTTCGATTCCAGTCAAGGGCACATACCTCTATTGCAGGCTCGATCCCTGGCCCCAGGTGAGGCACATTTGGGAGGCAACCAATCTGTGTCCCTCTCACACTGGTGTTTCTGTCTCTCCCCCTCCTTCCACGCTCTCTAAAAATCAATGGGAAAAATATCCTTGAGTGAGGATTAACAACAACGACACAAAGAATAAAAACAAGTGTTTCTCTTTATCTGTATCTTTTCCGCAGTTCTGCATTCAGCCACTGAATTTGCTCTGGTTTTTGGATGGTTTTGATGTGTAAACATTTTGTGCCTGTGTGGAATCCGGAGGAGAATTAAGTAATTCCGTTTGTAAGAAGAGAAACCGAAGAGGCCCTTGAACCCCCAGGAACATTTTAACAACTTCGCTGTGAGGCCTGCATTCAACCCTAGACCCTGCCGAGAGTTTGGGAAGGCACTCCCTGTGCTGCTTTTCTCCTTGCCAGGGGCGGTGGAGGATCATAGGGGAAGGATCATCCGGCCTCTGCTCTCACACAGGGACCTGAGGGACTAAACAGCCTTCCTGTGGTTACTGCACCATAGGTTCCCAGCAGGGGGCAGGATTAAGGCAGCTTGTTTTTCTTACCTTACTTAGTGGCCAGTACTTTAGGTTGATTGCCTGTCCAGAGCGGGAGGGAGAAGCAGTTTTCCAGTGAGGCATTTGTAGAATTAGCATTTGAGCAGGAGGAAGACTGGGAACCTGGGGTCTCCTGTGTGGGAAAGTAGTTCTGATGTTATTGGAACTATCGGGTCTAGTAATAATTAATGTCGTTTTAAACATTCGTTTAAAATCTTGCTTGGCGTTGACTTGTATTGACATAACCTTCAAACACGTGGTATCTACAGAACGTGTGAAGTGCAATTAACAAGTTTTGCTTGAAAAAGTTTGTGTTTGGTTTGGTTTTTGTTGCAAAACTAGGGCTAAGAAGATGGCGGATGAAGAGCATATTCGGCACTGCATGCTTTACGAGTTCCAATTAGGAAGAAAAGCAAGTGAGGCTGCAAAAAACATCTGTAGTGCTCTTGGTCAAGATGCAGTTAGCGCCAGAAAATGCCAGCATTGGTTTGAGAAATTTCGCGAGGGAAATTTTTCGTTAGATGACAAGAGTGGTCGAGGCAGTGTGTCCAATTTTGATCAAGAAGCTCTTCAAGCTCTTTTGGTGCAAAATCCTCAAATTACCCAACAATAGCTTGTGACAACTTTAAATTGTTCACAAAAAACAATTTCCAATCAATTGCGTGCACTTGGCAAAGTCCAAAAGTTTGGAAAATGGGTTCCTCATGAGTTGACTGACAACAACCGTAATCAAAGAGTCACAATTTGCAGTTCGCTCCTCTCTCGTCAAAACCGTTTGCCGTTTTTAGAGCAAATTGTTACCGGAGATGAAAAATGGGTGCTGTATGTTAATTTGAAAAGGCGGCCTCAATGGTTGGACAAAAATGAGGCTCCACAGCCCACGCCAAAACCTGACTTGCATGCGAAAAAAGTGATGTTGTGTGTTTGGTGGAATTTTAAAGGAATTCTTCATTATGAACTTTTACCATCTAACCAAACCATTACAAGTGCAGTGTATAGTGCCCAATTGGAAAGGTTAGTCCAAGCTTTAAGAGAAAAAGAACCCGTGCTGATTAATCGGAAGGGCGTAATTCTTCACCATGATAACGCACGACCGCATACTGCAAGAATCACTGCTGAAAAACTGCACCAGTTGGAATGGGAAGTTCTCCCTCAACCTGCATATTCTCCTGATATTGCCCCTTCCGATTACCATTTGTTTCGTTCTTTGCAAAACTTTCTTCTTGGAAAAAAATTTAATAATGAAGAATGCCTCAAAAATGCATTGACCGAATTTTTTGCATCAAAATCACAAGAATTTTACAACAGAGGGATTAAAATGCTTCCTGAGCATTGGGCACAAGTAGTAGAAAACAACAGCAACTATAATGTTGATTAAATGTTGTTGTATTGTTTAAATAAATTCGATTTAAAAAAAGGTATTAGAAAACGACATTAATTATTACTAGACCTAATATAATGAGCTCTAAGAATAAGTAGCAGTTTCTCTGTATCCAGCCTGGCATTTTCTATAACTGTTCCTTCAGCAGCCCATGAAGAAGGTGTTTTTGATACAATTGAAGCGTCAAGCGGGGCTGGGGTCTGACTACCTTTGCAGTGAGGGTGTGGGGAAAGGGCCTAGGTTACCTTGTGAAGGCAGCATTGCCAACCTCTTCGGTTACTTAGAGCTATCTTTGCAGCAGTCAGAACGATTCTGATTCTTTAAAACATTTGCACAAAGTCGCCGAAACCGGTTTGCTCAGTGGTAGAGCGTCCGTCTGTGGACTGAAGGATCCCAGGTTCGATTCCTGTCAGGGGCATGTACATTGGTTGAGGCACATCCCCTGTGAGGGGTGTGCAAGAGGTGGCTGATCGATGTTTCTCTCTCATTGGTGTTTCTAGCTCTCTATCTCTCTCCCTTCCTCTCTGTAAAAAAAAAAAAATCAATAAAATATATTAAAAACAAACAAAAAACCCCCCCACACACACATTTGCACAAAGTCCTTGGCCCATTTCTATTTACCTCGGTGGCAGGTATGTGCCATTCTCTGGATCCCTTACCCTGCATTGTTGTAGCTACATTAACCTGCAGGGAAATCAGTTGCCTGGAGACTCATAGGTTCAGATTTGAGGGCTCAGCATTGCTTTAAGGGAATTGACTGCAACCCAGTCCATTTGATAACGTATGCTAAGTATCCACCTGACATCAAAAGGCAAAGCTCACATGAGTTGATCAAATACTGCAATTCAGTATGACGGATTGTGCGGCAGCAGGCAGCTGTGTCCTGATAGCCCTGCCTACTGAGTGTCTTCGGTCACCGCCCTTTGTCTGAGCAGCAGCAGGCTGCTTGTCCCTCTTCCCTGCCCAGCTCTGTGCCCACCCCGCCAGCCTCCACTGGTGGAGAGGCCGAGGGAACATGACTGTCCTGCTGGAGTCACCTCATGCTGTTTACCACCTGCACCAGGCCCAGGCCCAGAAGAAGCTTGGACACACTGAGAGAACTAGGAAAACAAATTTTGGTCAACTCATTTTGTGGGGGAATAAAAATATGCCCATAGTATTTTTACAAGAGGAAGGTCGCTGAGATCAGGAAATCAGACAGCAGCCGTAGATGCTCAAACCGTAGATGCTACAGACCTCCTTCCTGTTGGACGTCACCAGGTGTGGAGCAAGGCCTGTTCAGAATGTCCTGGGCAAGAACAAAAGCGTGTTCATGTCCACGTGTGCTCCTTAAGGTTCAGCTTCTCTTTGAGCAGGAGTGGGGAACCTTTCTTCTGCCAAGGGCCATTTGGATATTTGTAACACCCTTCTCAGGCCATACAAAACGATCAGCTTAAAAATTAGCCTGCTATATCTGGCCAAACGTTTAATTAACTCACCCCTCATGCCTTGGCAGGGCCAGACATTCCCCACCCTGCCTGAGAGGGAGAAAAGTAAATGAAGACACAGTGATCCTTCCGCGTAGAGGACAGTGACCTGAGTTGGAAAGGCCACATTGATTGCCTTGCTGTTTGCCCCCGTTCGGATGGTGTCATGTTTACCTTTCAGGTGATACCAGGATGTGGACTGGCCAGAGCTCACCTGAGTGCAAAGGCCAGTCACCAGTGTCTCGACTCCTGGTGTCTTTCACTCAGATAACCCCAGGACCTGACTCAGGACCTCACTATGAGGGCAGAGACAGGCCAGTTCCGAGAGAGAGAGAGAGAGAGAGAGAGAGAGAGAGAGAGAGAGAGAGAGAGAGAGAGAGAGAGAGAGAGAAGGGTTAGGAGAGAAACAAAGGGAGGGAGAAGAGGGGGAGGTGAGAGACCAAAAGGGAGGCAGAACGCACAACACAAGTGGAAGTGACAGGCTTATTTTGACTCCTTTCTGGAGCTCTTTGTGGATGCCTGTGGAATCCTTCTCTAGCCATAAATGGGACGGAGCAACCTGAGGCAACGTCTCTCTTTGCAGGTCCCCCTCACCCTGAATTCTGCCCCCTGGCACAGCTCAGAACTATAACCTTGTATGCCCCGCTCCCTGCCCCCTTCGAGGCTGTCATCCTCGGGAGCTTGGTGTGCCTGACTGCCACACTGGCATGTTGTGTGGGCATAACGTTTCCATTCTTGTGCCAAGTTTGGTTTTCTAGAGGTTAATGTTTTCTTAGTTTTTACTTATTTACTTCTCAATGTATTTATTCTTTTCCAAATGTGCCATCAGTTCTGTCAGAAACCTAACCATGTTATTTTCCGTATGATGACAAGAACACAGGATCTGTTGGTTCCCTAGTTTCTGTTTTGTGTGGGTTGCCCTCTGGTCCCTCTGTGGGCAAAAAAAGGGGGGTGAGTGTCTGTGGAAAGTACCCTCACAGGGTGACGTGATCATAAATTCCTAACTGGGTAGGTCATGGTTAGTAGTCACATCCCAGGCATGTAAACTTCTTTATTAAAAGGCTTATCTGTGCCTTAAGCAACTCCTGTCCATTGTTTCTGTGCATCTACCAGGGGTGGGGAACCTTTTTTCTGTCAAGGGCCATTTGGATATTTATAACATTATTCACTTAATATAAATTTACGCTGGTATGAAAAAGAGCTTCTAGATTTATTGCATTTTGAGTCCTGCCTAGGGTTTCCTTGGCAGGGCCAGACCAAATGATTGCGAGGGCCTCATGCGTGGGCCCTATGTGGCCTGGGCTGGACATTCCCCATCTCTGACTCTTAACTCACCTTTGAAATGCTCTCTCAGATCCCTCAGGAGAGCACATTCATCTTAACTGCTGTGTAATTCTATCCCTGACATTGCTTCCTCCCACCTTCATAGAATCCTCCTTACATTCCTTCTTTAATCAAATGCACAAAAGGAAGCTGCAGAACTGTTATCTCTGGAGCTTTGCAATCTTGCTCCCTGGTGTATATTGTTAGTTTGGCTCAAATAAACACTTATAAAATTCTCCACAGGTTTGGTTGTTTCTTACATTAGCCTAGAATGGTCTTCATTGCCTGCATGTGACCCAGGTCCTAGATCCTGTGTCTTCCTCTTCTTGGTTAATCCCCCAGTTTGCAGTATAAATTCTGGTAGCTTCCAGATTAGGTTGAAAGGGTTCTTCCCAGAGGATGTGTGTCAAAGGCAGCCCTCTAACTCTCAGTCTTGCTGTTGAGAATCCATGCTGTGCCACTTCGTCCCCCACGCCCCCACCCGCGGCATTGTCAATGTGGGACTGCCCTTTTCCCTTTAGACACTTTCCCGACTTGTTTGTTCTAAAATTTCACCGAGTATGTACTTGGTATGGGTATGTTTTTTCTTTTCTCTTTTTAGACACTCAATTATTTTTATTTAAAATATTTTTTTCCAGCAACATTTTTATTAGAAGTGTATTTACAGTTACATAATGGAGATGAGCCTGATATGAGGAGAGGTTGATAACTCACAAATGGGTTGATTAGGTCCTTTAGCAAGAGTTCATGTAATTATTTGCAAGCTATTGTGTAACATGAGGGCTGTGGTCAGTCCCGGGTGGAGGGTCATCACTGTGTGCTTCCTGCCTGCTCTGTGGAGACGATGAGGCCCATATCACTAAACTTGAGTCTTGCTGTGTACACAGATTGTACACACTGTGCAGAAAGAAAATGATGATTTTTAAAAAAATGAAATTGTGTTGCATTTTATTTATAAACTCTTGCAACCCTAAAACATTTTTGGGATCATCAGAGTTTTAAAATAAAATTGATATGTAAAACTTGAACTGATTTGGAAACCTCCAGTGGAAATTGTAAGACTTTGCTGTTTTTATTCACTTTATTCCTAAAGTTTATTGCTTCTACTCTAAAGTTGATATATTATTACTAGGGACCTGGTGCATGAAGATTCATGCACAGGGGGTGGGTCCCTCAGCCTGACCTGCATCCTCTCCAATCTGAGAGCCCTCAGGGGAGCCCTCTCCAATCTGGGAGTTTCTGTCTGTCTTTGTAATCATATGAGCGAATTGTCTGAGACCCCAACCCAGTTTGGTTTGTTGCTCACAGAATAATAGAAGCTTTTTTTTTTTTCTTTGCTTCATTGGTGGAGATTTCCTGGAAGTTTTAGGGTATCTTCCCTTTAATTTTTCCTAGACATTCCGATTTTACTTATGTCTCTCATCTTTGCTTTTCCACTATCCCCCACCACAACAGTAACTTGCTCTAGTGTCTAGGAGATCGTCTGCCACCAGATACTACGATTCCCAGTATTCCTGGTGCTCCCTGCACTCTGGGCTTCCACTTCCAGTCCTGGGGTTGCCACCAGAACTACTACTTTCAGAATTCCTGGTGCTCCCCATGCTCTTGGTTTCCCTTCCTGCTCTGCACAGCCTCCCACTCTGCCAAGTCCTCCAAGCCACCAGCTTTCCCTCTCTACTCTCCCTCTGGTGGCTTGAGGAGCCAAGTTCCCCAAGCCTCTCCATTCTCCACTAGCTCTCAAGGGCCTGTGTATGCAAATCAACCTGCCTACTTTGGCGGGTTAATTTGTATACTCACTCCTGATTGGCTGGTGAGTGTAGCAGAGGTATGGTCAATTTACATGTTTCTCTTTTATTATGTAGTATTACAGAAAATTTTTTGGATAAGACTAGCAGAATGGCTTTTTTTTTTAAAAAATCACCTTATTGCACTATTCATTCTAGTGGTTCAATAGTGAAACTGTCAAATTATAAATGTTCATCCCAGTGGTCAGCAAACTCATTAGTCAATAGAGCCAAATATCAACAGTACAACAATTGGAATTTCTTTTGAGATCCAAAAACTGACTTCTGCGCATGGGCCACGAAGTTTCAATCACACTGTACGTGCACGCCCACATGTGGTATTTTGTGGAAGAGCCACACTCAAGGGGCCAAAGAACCACATGTGGCTTGCGAGTTGCAGTTTGCCGACCACTTGTGTGTTGGGTAATCTTACATTGACAAAGTGATTCTGCTCTTTGGTACTCAATTGAAAATTCTAGTGTTACCTTGGGAAAAGGAACCAAACCACCCTTGAGTTCTATTTTTGATGGTGACCCTGATCTTTTTTTTTTTTTTTAATTCTTTTTAAAAATATATATATTTCTTTCTTGATTTCAGAGAGGAAGGGAGAAGGAGTGAGAGATAGAAACATCAGTGATGACAGAGAATCATTGATCGGCTGTCTCCTGCACACCCCCCACTGGAGATCAAGCCCACAACCCAGAATGTGCCCTTGGCCGTAATCGAACATGGGACTCTTCAGTCAGCAGGCTGACGCTCTATCCACTGAGCCAAGCCGGCTAGGGCTTTTTTAAAAATTCTTTATTGTTGGAAGTATTACATATGTCTCCTTTTTCCCCTATTAACCTCTCCCCACCCACTCCTCCTGCCTCTGCACAGGCCCTCGCCCCCCTACTGTTTGTGTCCATTGGTTATGCTTATATGCATGCATACAAGTCCTTTGGTTCATCCCTTATCCCCCCTCCTCTCCTCTCCTTCCCCTGCCTGCTCACTGAGGTTTGACAGTTTGTTAAATGCTTCTGTGTCTCTGGATCTATTTTTGTTCATCAGTTTATGTTGTTCATTATATTCCACAAATGAGTGAGATCATGTGATATTTGTCTTTCTCCAACTGGCTTATTTCACTTAACATTATGCTTTCCAGGTCCATCCATGCTGTCTTAGCTTTTGTAAATTGTGCTACTATGAACATAGGAGTGCATATATCCTTTCTGATTGGTGTTTCTGATTTCTTGGGATATTTTCTTAGAAGTGGCCAAATAGGAGTTCCATTTTTAATTTTTTGAGGAAACTGCATACTGTTCTCCACAGTGGCTGCATTCCCAGCAGCAGTGCACGGGGGTTCTTTTTTTCTCCACATCCTCACCAGTGGTTTGCTTTTTCTTGTCCCACTTGGTGGGATTTTGCCATTTGTCTGCTTGGAAAAGTCTAGTATTATTCTAATAATCCCCCTTCCCTTCAACTAGTGTCCCCCCTTCCCTTTTAAAAAAAATATATTTTATTGATTTTTCACAGAGAGGAAGAAAGAGGGATAGAGAGTCAGAAACATCGATGAGAGAGAAACATCGATCAGCTGCCTCTTGCACACCCCCTACTGGGGATGTGCCCGCAACCAAGGTACATGCCCTTGACCAGAATCGAACCTGGGACCTTTCAGTCCACAGGCCGACTCTCTATCCACTGAGCCAAACTGGTTTTGGCTGGTTTCTTTACTTTGTTCATAGAGGATGCCTGGAGATTTCAGAAAGCAAGCCATCAAATTTAGAGCTATTTTTTTTTTAATATATATTTTATTGATTTTGTACAGAGAGGAAGGGAGAGAGATAGAGAGTTAGAAACATCGATGAGAGAGAGTCATCGATCAGCTGCCTCTTGCACACCCCCTACTGGGGATATGCCCGCAACCAAGGTACATGCCCTTGACCGGAATCGAACCTGGGACCCTTCAGTCCCCAAGCCGACGCTCTATCCATTGAGCCAAACCGGTCTCGGCTAGAGCTATTTTTTAAAGCACTTTAAAAATTATTTTAAAATGTTTAATTGTGGAACAAAACCCCACTAATATAAAATTTATCCTCTTAACCATTTTTTAATGTACCATTCAGTAGAATAACTATATGTACATTGTTGTGCAACAGATTTCTGGAACTTTTTCATCTGCAAAACTGGCCAGTGTTAGAGCGTCAGCCCTCACACCAAAGGGTCGTGGTTTCAGTTCCCACTCAAGGGCACATACCTGGATTGTAGGTTCATGTGCCCCCGGTTGGGGCTTACTTAGAGGCAACCAATTGATGTGTCTCTCTCATCCAGTAGGATCGGGCCTAAATGGTGATTGGACATCCCTCAAGGAGTCCCAGATTGGAGAGGGTGCAGGCTGGGCCGAGGAACATCCCCCACCCCCCACCCCCATGCACGAATTCTGGGCCTCTGGTACATTACAATTTAGCAAGCTTATTTTGCTGGATGGTTTAGGTTATATATAAGTAGTAGTCTGATGAACTCATCTTTGTGTGTAGCATTATTTCTTTTAGTATAAAGGAATTTATAAAAGGGATTATGAAATTTTATTTGAAATAACTGGGTCAGATAATCAAAATATTTTAAAATTTCTTGATATATAGATCAAGTACCCTCCCTAGACATTTACTGTCACTTCCTCCAGGAATGTGTGAGACTCCCCTTGTCTGACAGCCTCAGTTAGCAATAAAATTTTCATTCTTGACAACTTGACGGTCACAAATATTTTTTTGTTTTAATAATTTGAACATTTTTAGATGGCTATTAACCATATATTTTTTTCCTTTAATGATTTGTCTACTTAAATTCTCTTTTTATTGGAGTTTCCATTTTTCTTTTATTTGAAGGGAAAAATTGTACTTGAAATGTGTAGAGAACAATTAGAATGTATATTAATGATTTTTTTAGGTGGTGAAATTTTTGATGAATGTAGTTCTCTTAATATTCATATTTTTTCCTGATTATTCTGTAATAGATTTTTGTGGGGGTTGACAAAACAAAAATTTCTGCTTCTTGGAAGGAGGACTGGTTCTCTAGTGACATGTTTTTTACCTCTTCTGCAAAAGTGCAGGCGATGCCTGCCAGCCCCACGTAAGCCTGAGAGGCTCTGGGTGATCTTGCTTACACACCCGCTTCCACCCTGTGCCTGGGCCGCACTGTCTGGGAGCACAGCAGTGAGAGGATGTGAGAGGTCTGGCAGTAACAGGGTGCCGTTGTTTTTGTGTTTTCGCATGCCATGTCCAGCCTGCTATGGGATGGATGAAGAAGAAGAGGACCACTATGTGTCACAGCTCAGGGAAGTCTACAGCAGCTGTGACACCACAGGGACAGGCTTTCTGGATCGGGAGGAGCTGACCCAGCTCTGTCTTAAGCTTCATCTGGAGAAGCAGCTTCCCATCCTTCTGCAGACACTTCTTGGAAATGACCACTTTGCCAGGGTGGGTATTTGACTTCATTCTCATAAAGAAAAGTGCAGAATACTTTTGTTGGCGATTATTGGCATTTGATAAATATCAACTGAATCAAGATACTTTGTCAAAGGAAAGTTACACAACTTGAAATTCATATTGCAATTGGAAAAATTTCAATCTACTATTAAGGAGCAAAGTATACTTATGTTCAGAAGTATCCTGTGATTTCATACAAGCAAGAAAGAAAATGAACTCAGAGTTTTTTTTTTCTAGGAAATTGAAGGTCATCTAAATGGTGATCTAAAACCAAGATAAAAACTTTCCTGTTAGAAATACTCACCTTGTTCCAACCTCTTGAATGTGTCCAGATGCTAATACGTTAGTGCTAAAAACAGTTCCTGTTATCCCAAGGTATTTTATTTTTTTGATGCAATTGTAAATGGGATTGTTTTTTCTTAGATTTCCCCCTTTAAAAATATATTTTTTTATTGATTTCAGAGAGAAAGGGAGAGAGAGATAGAAATGTCAATGATGATAAAGAATCATTTATCAGCTGCCTCTTATATGCCCCCTATTGATCGAGCCTGCAACTTGGATATGTGTCTTTGACTGGAATCTGTTCTGGGACCTTCCTTCAGTCTGCAGGCTTATGCTCTACCCACTGAGCCAAACCAGCTAGGGCTTAGTTTCCCCTTTTGATAGTTCATTATAGGTGTATAGAAATGCAACTGATTCCTAGATATTAATTTTGTATCCTGCTACTTTACTGAATGCAATGATCAGTTGTAGTAGTTTTTTTGATGGAATTTTTTGGGTTCTCTATATACAATATCATGTTATCTGCAAATAATGACAATTTTACTTCTTCCTTTCTAATTTGGATACCTTTTATTTTTTCTTCTTGTCTGATTGTTATGGCTAGAACTTCCAGTACTATGTTGAGTAAGAGTGGTGAAAGCGGACATTTCTGTCCTGTTCCTGATATTAAGGGAAATGCTTTTCGTTTTTGCCCATTGAGAATATCTTCCTTGATCCATTAGTAGTTTAGTAGCATGTTATTTAGTCTCTACATATTTGTGTTTTTTCCAGTTTTCTTTCTGTAATTTATTTTTTTTAGTTTCATGTTATATGGTAAAAAAATATACTTCATATGATTTACGTCTTATTGAGTTTATTGAGGTTTGTTTTGAGTAATGTTCCATATGCACATGAAAAAGTATATTAGTTTGAAGTTTTTGGATGAGATGTTCTATAACTTTTTATTAAGTTAATCTGGTCTAATGTAACATTTATGACCACTTATTAATTTTCTGTCTGGATGATCAATTCATTGATGTGAGTGGGACATTAAAATTTACTATTCTTATTGAATTACCATGAATTTCTCACTTTATATCCATTATTATTTGCTTTTTATAATTAGGTTCTCCTATGTTTGATGTATAGTTACTTATAATTGTTTATATCCTGTTCTTATATTAATCCCTTTCTCATTATGTAATTGCCTTCTTTGTCTTTTTTTTTTTTTTTAACTTTCCTTGTTTCAAAGTATATTTTGTCTGATATGAGTATTGCCACCCCAGCTCCCTTTTCATTTCTATTTACATGGAATATCTTTTTCTATCCTTGCACTTTCATTCTGTATGTGTCTTTCAATTTGAAGCAGCATATAGATGGGCCATGTATTTTAATCTATTCAGCCATCCTATCTTTTTTTTTATTGGAACATTTAATCCATTTATATTTAAAATGGATTTCCTTGTGGTCTGCTGGTTTTCTTTAGTGTTTGTTTGGGGACCTTTGTCTTCATTCTTTGTGGATATCGTTTTAGGTTTCTGGTTTTTGTTACCATGAGGTTCTGTATCTATGGCAGTCTATTTTAAGCTGATAGTCATTTAAGTTTAACTATTCTAAAAGGATTACATTTTTCCTCCCCTCCTACACTTTGTTTTTGATTAATTTCACTGTATTTATTACATACTAGAGGTCTGGTGCATGCACGTGTGGGGTGTGGCCACCTGCCCCAGTCGGGGCTGATTGGGCTGGGCTGGCAGGGTGAGAGGAGCTGCAGGTGGTTGGTGGGCTAGTCCAATTCGGGGAGGGGTCAGATGAGGGAAGGGGCCAAGGGGCATTAGGCCGGCCCCACCCTTTGGTCGAACTCCCAGTCGAGGGTAAAATTTGCATATTAGCCAGCCTTTTATTATATAGGATTTGCCTTTATCTGTGAGATTTTTTTTTTCTATCTAATATTTTATTATTTCTGTTTATGGCCTTTCCTTTTGTTTATCAGAAGCCCTTTAGCATCTCTTGTAAAGCTGGTTTAATGGTGATGGACTCCTTAATTTTTTGCTTGTCCAGTAAACTATTTTCTCTCCTTCAATTCTGAATGATAACCTTTCTGGGTAAATTATTCTAGGTTGTAGGTTCCTTTCTTTTATAACTTTAAAGATATTCTGTCATTCCCTTCTGGCTTACAAAGTTGCTGCTAAGAAATCAGCTGACATCTTTATGGGGTTTCCTTTCTTTGTAACTAGTTGTTTTCCTCTTGCTGCCTTCAAGATTGACTCTTTAACTTTTGCCATTTTAATTATAATATGTCTTGGACTCTTTTAGTTCATCTTGGTTAGAATTCTTTGTGCTTTTTGGACCTATATGTCTCTTTCCTTTCAGAGGTCAGGAAAGTTTTCAGCTCTTATTTCTTCCAATAAGGTTTTTATTTCTTTCTGACTTTTCCTTCTTGGACCCCTATAACGTGAATGTTAGTATGCTTGCTATTGTCCTAAAGGCCCTGTAAATTATCCTCAATTATTTTTTGTTGTTGTTGCTGTTCTAATTGGTTGATTTCTATTAGTCTGTCCTCAAGGTCACTGATCTTTTCTTCTTTGTTAGCTAAGCTACTACTGATTACCTCTAGTGTATCATTTTATTCTTCAACCCTCTTGGTTTCTTACTATACTTTCTAACTCTTTGTTGAAGTTCTCCCTAAATTTCTCTATTTCATTCTCAAGTTTGGTGTGTATCCTTATGACTTTTCTTTAAAAAAAATTTTTTTTTAATCAGACAAATTGATTATCTCTGTTTCATTAGTTTTATTTTCTGGTTGATTTTTCTTATTCCTTCATGTGAGAGGTATTCTTCTTTTCATTTTGTTCACCTTTCTTTGTTTATATGAATTAGACAAAATATTTCTCTCTCCCAATCTTGAGAAAGTGACCTTATGTATGCTGGGCGGTTTTGAGAGGCCATTTGTTGCCAAGCAGGTGCCTGTGGCATCTGGGCACTGTCCTACAAAGCTGGAAGGGTAGGCCAGGTTCATGTAGGAATGTCCTGTTGATCTTGCTTTCTTCCTTTGTTTGGAGCCACATTGGACTCCTAGCAGCGTGGCTGGGAATGTGCTATGGCAATCTTGCAGGTAAGCCAGAGCTCTGGGGTAGAGCCCTCACCTGACTGATGGAGGTGGACAGGGACATAAACAATGGTGCTCATTGGCACCTTCACTCCTGGAGAATTCCTGCAGCTACTCGGGGCTCCCATGGTTTCCTGGCCTTCTCTATTCATTCTCTTCCTCTCCTTTTTCATAAGCTGTCTAATCAGTCCCCAGTTGTCTCTCAGGAATGATTGCTCTCTAGATAGGTATAGATTTCAGTGTGCTTTCAGTGTCTTCCTGTGTTATTACCATCTTGGACCTCCTCCTTTTAAAAAATCTGAGGTAAATTTTTTGGGAAAATGAATGTTCTCCATGCAAAAAGGCAACAGTAAAATGTTTCCATCTGAGGGAAATAAAACAAACAAAAGGCTGATGCATTATAGTTCTGTTGAAAGTAACTTTGACCTCTTTTCTTAAATTCCCCCAGGTTAACTTTGAGGACTTTAAAGAAGGTTTTGTGGCGGTGTTATCATCACACTCTGCTGTCGGCTCCTCGGATGAAGACAGCAGTTCTGTGGAATCAGGTAAGGGGATTTCCTCCTCTCACCTTTAGTTTCTTTTCATTATGTATAACATTTGGGACATAATATCCTGATTGAAGAATCTAGTAGGTTGAGACTAAATTTGTAAACCTGCTCTGTCACTGATGAGTGATGGCAACTGGGACAAAACATTTCTTTTTTTTTTTTCCCTTCTATTTTCTTATTTGTAAAATAGTATTATAAGATAGAAATCTTGTTATTTTCTTTAAACTGCGCACAATACTCTGAATACTGCTGACACTCTGGTCACCGTATGTGTGGCAGTTTTTCCCATGCTGGCAAGTCTCTGACACCATTTGGGTGCTCTACAATTAATCACTCCTGACATGACCTGCCTAGAGATAGTGTGAATCTGACAGGTTAAGGGCTCAATCCTATTAATTCTTTACTTCAGATGCTGGTTGCAAGTCCAGGTTGTCACCAATGCTTCTGACCAATAGCTATGAGTCAGAGATTCTCAAAACATACTCCTTTGATTCGATTAATTTGCTAGGGCAGCTCACAGAACTCAGAGGTTTACTCACTAGATCACTGGTTTATTAAAAAGTATATAACTTAAGCCCAAGCAGTGTGGTTCAATGGTTGAGTGTTGACCTACGAACCAGGAGGTCAGGGTTCGATTCCCAGTCAGGGCACATGCCTAGGTTGCTAGCTCAATCCCCAGTAGGGGGGGGTGCAGGAGGCAGCCAATCAGTGGTTCTCTGTCATTGATGTTTCTATCTCTCTCTCCTCTGTTCCTCTCTCTGAAATCAATAAAAACATGTTTTTTTTTTAAAGTGTATAAGTCAGCCAGGACCGGTTTGGCTCAATGGATAGAGCATCGGCTTGGGGACTGAAAGGTTTCAGGTTCGATTCCGGTCAAGGGCATGTACCTTGGTTGCGGGCATATCCCCAGTAGGGGGTGTGCAAGAGGCAGCTGATCGATGACTTTCTCTCATCGATGTTTCTAACTCTCTTATCTCTCTGCCTTCCTCTCTGTACAAAATCAATTAAAAAAAAAAAAAGTGTATAAGTCAGCCAAAACCGGTTTGGCTCAGTGGATAGAGCGTCAGTCTGCAGACTGAAAGGTCCCGGGTTCGATTCCAGTCAAGGGCATGTACCTTGGTTGCGGGCATATCCCCAGTAGGGGGTGTGCAAGAGGCAGCTGATCAATGGTTCTCTCTCATTGATGTTTCTAACTCTCTATCCCTCTCTTCCTCTGTAAAAAATCAATAAAATATATATATTTTTAAAAAGTGTATAAGTCAAGAATAGCCCGATAGAAGAGACGCATAAGACATGACGTGGGAAAAGACCCAGATTTTCCAGGTCCGCTCTAGGTCTGCCATTCTCCCCAGTCTCCAAATGGTCACCAACACAGAAGTTCTCCAAACCCCATCCTGCTGGCATGAGAGGGGAAAGGTGTCTCAGGGAGGGCCTACAGCAATTTCATTGAGGAAAACTTTGAAATCTAAAAGAAATTATAAAACAAAACTGTCATCGGTGAAAAAAAAGCACAAGTGGTATGCCCTCCCTGAGACACCTTCTCCCTCTCATGCCAGCAGGTGGGGCTCATGCCAATGCCCATCTCCAAGCACCCATCCACAGAGGCCGGTGCCCACTGCTCGAAAGCCTGATCAAGCCTTGGTGGTCCTGGAGAGTCAGACAAGCGTGGTGCCCTCCAGGATTGTGTTCATTTCAGCTTTCCATCCTGGTTCATTTTCTCTGTCTCAGGCCCTTTTGTCAAATGTGGTTCAGGTCTCTGCCTCCTCAGTGCCTCATTTATTACCACCCACTGCTCCATTCATAGCATCACCCTCTTCCTGTTTTCTAATCTGTTTGCTAGTCTTTCCTATAATCTCCCACCATGATCAGAAAAATGTGCTTTTGATGCTCCAGGAAGGAGAGTGTCATTGTGGAATCAAGTCCTTGGGGTTTTGAAGGACATTCCTGCTTCCCCATCATTTTACTCTTTTCATTAAAGGCCATTATTGAATATACTAGAGGCCCGGTGCATGCAATTCATGCAAGGGGCTTGGCCCTCGTAGTCCCGCTTTGTCCAGGAGGATGTCTGGAAGGTTGCTCGACTGTCTGGTCTAATTAGTATATTATGCTTTTATTATTATAGATAACGATATGTACTTTAACTTTAGATTTTGTTATTCTTTTCTTATAAATAAAAATGTACACCAGGAAGACACAATTGGATGTCTAGGGCTTGGATCAGCAGGTCTACTGCCCTGTCTACCAGAGCCATGAGGGGCCATATCTTGTGTGCTGTGGACACTCTGGGGTGTGTTATGGGGGCTGGGCTGGGCTGTGCCTGCACTGAAATAAGCTTGGCCAGGTGACTTACTGTCCTTCCCATTCCGAGAGGTTATGACTCATAAATCTGTGGGCTGTTCCATTCATTTAAACACCATTCCTCTGCCCTTATTGTTTCTGTTCTGACCTGCTACATGGACACTTTTCTAGAGTAGCATTTCTCCCTGTTGGAGGGAGAGGGGTGATAGGTTTCTTGAGAACATTGGTGAATATTATAAAAAAAGTGTTTTCCCACCTTACCTGTCCACATCTGCACAGAGCATGTGTTTTTCTGGGCCAGTCGTTACTCCAAGGGAATGCTGACTTGCTGGCAACTATGAAAAAGTGGCCAGCATCTAGGGCGGGGTGGGACTCCAGACATGGACTAGGGGTTATCTGAGGAAGGGCAGTGGAAGGAAGGAAAATCAAGCGTACAAAGCAGAAACACATGCCGGTTGCATGATCTCCAGGTATGCCAACAAATAGACTGAGCCCGGGAATTGGCCACGGTATAGACCTGGGGGCCAGGACTCTGCTCTGTGGAGGTCTGATGGCTTAGGAGGGCATGCAGAGCTCCCCTCCAAGTTTTCTGCACCTGGTTTTCCCACACGTGCCACAGCTCCCCCCTTCTCACCTGACACGAAAATCCCTCTCCTGACACCACCTTTGGGTGGAAAGAGGAGGGTTCTTCCTCACCCACTTGGCCCTCTTGAGCAGACCCCGTGAGCTCTCTCACATGGTGAGAGTCTGTTGGGCCAGGACCTGTCAATGCCTGTTGTTCCAGGGCGGTTAGTAATTGTGTTTACAATGACCCCAAAGTGCCCCAATGGGGTGAGAAATTATATGGTCGACCTGCATATTGTCAGCTGCCTCGTATGTCACGCTCTAACTTCATATCCTACATGTCCAATGTGAACATTTTCCTCCCAGAAACTCTGCCTCTGTCCCTAGTTTTTGTCTGTCACTGGCATCTCCATTCTCCTGGTTGGCCAGGACGGACCAGCCTCTTCCTCTGATGGTCCCAAGGTTAGTGGCTGTGGACTAGCCGTTTTGGCGTGATAGAAAGAAATGTGGTGGTGCTTGACCTTAGGGGCGTGACTTCTGTTGGGTTGAGGCTCAAGACGCATCTGCAGTGAAATGTGCCTCATTTTCCTGGCCTCTCTGGGCTCTCTCTCTCTCCAGTTGGCCCATCTGGTTGCTTCCCTCTGAAGCCTTGTCCTGTTGTGGCCATTGCGGTGCTGCCCTCCCTGTCTCTCTCCTGCCTGCCAGGCTCCAGTACAGCGCCAGCGAGTGTCTTCTCTGCCTGAGAGATCCCAGCTGCTCTGTGAATATGTGGACAGATAAGGTGGGAAAAAGCAAGTGCAAATTATTAAGGTTTAGGTGATTCTCATGAACCTCAAATCTAAGTCCAGACCTGCCTGTGCCCCAGACCCACACGGAGCCTGAGCCTACACAGCTCTCTCTGAGGTCTGTGCCCACTCGCATCCACCATCCAGGCCCGTGGGGTTCGAGAGTGAAGTGAGCAGGTGGAAAGTGACCTCCCTGCCTCTGGAGTGTATGTTCCTGGATTATTGGAAAGGTCTTTTTCTTTGTATAAAAAGCTAGATTTTTATTACCTAAATAAAAGCAAAATATGGTAAAAAAAAAAAAAAACAATCTTAAATTCTTAGCCAGTGTGGCTTAGTTGACTGATCATTGCCCTGTGCCCCAGGGGGTCGCCAGTTCAATTTCTGGTCAGGGCACACACCCAGGTTGAGGGTTCGATCCCCGGTCAGGGTGTATGCAGGAGGCAGCCGACAGATGTTTCTCTTACACAATGATGTTTCTCTCTCCCTGTCTCCCTCCCTCAGTCCCTCCCTTCCCCTTCCTCTATCTCTAAAGAAAAAAACCAAAAACCCTAAACAGCATGTAAAGTTTAGAGTGGCAAGTCCTTGTCTCTCAGCCTGGCTTTTTCAGTGCCCAGCCCAGGGAATAGGAAACTGCTGTTAGCTGTTCCCTCTGTTCTCCCAGGTGATTCTGTGAGCATAAAAGTGCAGCCATCATGCCAAAACTGGTTTGGCTCAGTGGATAGAGCGTTGGCCTGCGGACCAAAAGGTCCCGGGTTCGATTCTGGTCAAGGGCATGTACCTTGGTTGCGGGCACATCCCCAGTAGGGGGTGTGCAAGAGGCAGCTGGCCAATGATTCTCTCTCATCGATGTTTCTAGCTCTATCCCTCTCTCTTCCTCTCTGTAAAATATCAATAAAACATATTTAAAAAAAAAAAAAAGTGCAGCCATCAGCGAGACGTGCACTCTGTGTCCAAGTCTGTGCTTTCTCAAAAGGCATCTCGGTAGCTTGCATGGGCCCAGAGGGTGCTCTAAAGGCCCACCCTCAGAGCCTCCCACTTTCTTTCCAGCTGCCTCCCATGCCGTCCCACCAAAGTACGTGAGTGGCTCTAAATGGTACGGCCGCAGGAGCCAGCCTGAGCTGTGCGACTCTGCAAACAGAACCAAATGTTTACCAGAACAGCAGGCCAAGGCCTCCGTGAAAAGCCAGATTCGACGCTCTGCATCGCTGGAAAGTGTGGAGGTGAGTCGGGCCGCCCCTTCCCCACCCCAGGCTGCCAAACACTGGGGAGATGGCGATTCACTTAGTCCCTGCTTACTGCATGTGAAGGGGCAGACAGGGGGGCATTCCTGAGCATTTTGTCACCAAGAGCACAGTGCACTTTGGAGAATGACACTTCATCCTGCTTGTCTGGGGGAACTCAGGGGGAACTCAGACATGGGGGTGGTAGAGAGCTTGTACACAGATCACTCGTGTCTCTCCTTCCCCTGCTCACCCCACCACCTTTCAAGAAGACTGTTTCTATGGTTTCAAAGGAGTGAAGTGGTATTTGGCCAAGAATACCATAAAGAAGGTGCCTTTCCGATGCAGCTGCAGGGTTAGGGATTGGGATGTACCAAGCCCACCGCCCCACCTGCCTGGAGCACTCAGACTATTCCAGCCGCGCATTTCCCCGGGCGAGCGCGTGCCAGCTCCCCCGGGGCCCTGGGAGCTCACTCTGCTCCCAGCCTCCCTGAGTGTTCACTGGGCTCAGGGACTGACCCAGGACGTGGGCTGCAGGAGCCTCCGAGGCTTCATGTCCACAGGCAGATCCACAGCCTGTGAGTTAACTGGATCTGTTTTCAAGGATTCAAGAAGCTTCCTGTCTCCTGCTCTCCGTGATGACACTTCTGTCAGATGGGGTGATATGGGGTCTTATCTTTAATAAGATGGCCCTGGACCCCCAGATTAATTTGTTTATATGTTTAACATTTATTGAGACAAAGAAGAAAACAAACAAATAGGTAGTGAGATTTCCATCAACAAATCCCACACATTAGGGGCTGCTAACAATAGGCACCGTCCTTCATTGAGAAGGCATTGTCCTAGTCTCCCAGGCGGACAGAATTCCCCGGTTCCCTCTGTCCGGTGCTGTGAGGACTGTTCCAGTCTCTGCTGCTCTGGGCTTGGATCCTGCGGGGCACTGAGACCCCACACTCCCAAGGGAAGGGAGCTTTGCAGCTGACATCGCTTGTCCTCTCAGCTGCACACCTGCCCCAGGGGGGCTCCTCCATGGGATATGTGGCCAGTCAGCTACGCTTCTCTTGGTTTTTCAGGTTGATTGCATAGTATTTTAGCTATAAATCCAGTCCCTGGCTGGGAGCAAGGCCATGTAGCCTCAAGTTACTCTGCAGCCACCTTGCCTCTTCCTAGACAAGCACTTGACTGTGTTTTATTGTGAATTACTGTCTGTGTGTGAGGGCCACCTTGCAGGGGTGGGGTTTTATTGGGAGGTGATGCATCTCACCAGGATGTTGTTCCTCTTCCTCAGTCACCCCTACCCGTCCCCAAGACATACCATCTACTTACTCCTGGTGCCCTGCCCACTGCTACATCCTCTGGGCTGTGGTTGGCAACCTGCGGCTCTCGAGCCACATGTGGCTCGTTGGCCCCTTGAGTGTGGCTCTTCCACAAAATACCATGGCCCAGGCGAGTCTATTTTGAAGAAGTGACATTAGAAGTTTAAGTTTAAAAAAATTGGCTCTCAAAGGAAATTTCAGTCGTTGTACTGTTGATATTTGGCTCTGTTGACTAATGAGTTTGCCGACCACTGCTCCGGGGGATTCATGTCCTCTTTTTCTTTTTGTGCAGAGTCTCAAGTCAGATGAAGAAGCTGAAAATGCTAAAGGACCTCAGAATGAGTTATTTGAAGCAAAAGGTAAAGCCGTGGCCTCACGCTCGGTGCTTTCACCAGTGCTCCGAAAGCTCCAGCAGCTGGGTCTTTGGACAGGGAGCCAGCCAAGTATAATTTCCTGGGAAGTGAGCAGTGTGGAGGGTGTCCGTGGTGGGCCTCTTCTCCCAGGAGGAGGGAGCTTTGCAGCTGATATTGAGGCTGCCACTGCCTTCTCAGCATCACCTGTGGCCAGACCCTCAGACGGAGACCACTGGCTGAGGAGGCAGGGTGGCTCTACCCCGCTTCATGGTCTGCAGGGACCTGCCCCCCTGCTGTGGATGAGCAGCCCCCCACCCCCTGCTGTGGATGAGCAGCCCCCCCTGCTGTGGATGAGCAGCCCCCCACCCCCTGCTGTGGATGAGCAGCCCCCCCCTACTGTGGATGAGTAGCCTTAGCGCCTGCCAGGACCCCAGCCTGTGCCCCATGTGGAGTGCAAGGCATGTCCCGGTCTTCGGGAGCCTTACGGTAGCAACCAGGAAGGAGCAGCAAGTATACATAAGCAAATTGCAGTACATCGGCCTGTGATGTGTCTCAGGGCAGAAATGTGAGTTGGAGAGAGGGATCTCAGAATTGACATTGAATTTCTGCTGCAGCAAAGTATCAGCAGTTGGCACTGAGTACCTTCTAGATGGTGGTCCTCAAGCACAGGGCTGTTCAGTGTTTACCTCCACAGATTCCATGTGAACTGATCTGAGCATCGCCTGTGCCACTGGACAAAGCAGATAGAGACCATTCGTGTTAGGAAGCTCTTCACCTTTAAATGTCATCATGTTTTAATTTTCTAGACTCAGAGCCTAAGGAAAACCTTAGGGGCAGGTTTTTCATAGAATAATTTGGTGCTTGCTCTTTGTCCAGAGAGCAGGTTGGTTCTTCCCAGCCTTGAACAGAAACCTTTCCATCTGGGTTAGAACACTCATGTCAAACCTCAAAGGATTTATTTACCTCCTGCCAGCCTTGAGAAGTAAGCCCCAATGTCAGAATTGCTTTTACCTTTTTCTAGAAATTTTATATTTTTTAATTTGAAGTGATCTGAGAGGTGGCCATTTTCTGCCTGGTTCTATTCTTGCATTTTCTTTTTTCTTTTTTTCTTTTTTTTAATATATTTTATTGTACATTTTGTACAGAGAGGAAGGGAGAGAGACAGAGAGTTAGAAACACCGATGAGAGAGAGTCATCGATCAGCTGCCTCTTGCAGACCCCCTACTGGGGATCTGCCCGCAGTCAAGGTACATGCCCTTGACCGGAATCGAACCCGGGACCCTTCAGTCCCCAAGCCGACGCTCTGTCCATTGAGCCAAACCTGTCCCGGCTATTCTTGCATTTTCTTCAGCCGAAACCTACAGCAATATTTGTGAGCACGCAGGCCTGGCTCTCGTTAGGGAAAGTGTCTTTCTGGTAATTAGTTGGGTTATCAAAGTAATTAACACAAAGGTACCGACCACTGACATAGAACTCAAGTCTGAATTAGGCGTGGCCCTGTGTTGAACTCTTTTCTGTGTTGGGCTGGATGTGGAGGTGAATGGCTGGTTAGAAGCATAGCTTATCTATGGCTGGCTTCTCACGGACACCCTCAACTATGTCTCTTCCACAAGTTGTTTGTCTGGCAAAACTTCAGAAACAGTAGTAAGCCAACTGGCTAAAGTGATAAAGTTATGGAAACTGACCATCTGTCACCCAAATCTACTGATGAGTCTTTTTTTTTTTTTTTTTTTTTTTTTTTTTAAAGATTTTTAGAGAGGAAGGAAGAGGGATAGAGAGAGGAAGAGAGAAACAATGTGAAAGTGAAACATCTATCAGTTGCCTCCTGCATGCCCCTAACGGGATCAAGCTCGGTTGGGCATGTGCCCTGACTGGGGATCGAACCTGCAACCTTCTGGTGCATGGGATGACTCGCAACCAACTGAGTCACATGGGCCAGAGCCACTGACGAATCTTTGCATCTCAAAGGCACCTGCACCTCTTAATGTGAGGTGGTGTGGAGTGCACAGTCTCACTTGTGTGTTTTTGCCACAAAAAAAAGGAAAAAACTGAGCCTAAACCCAAATTACAAACTAGCCTTTGATGCTAAATTTATGTTTACAGGAAATATCAGGGATAGAGGCACAAGTTATATGATACCATGAGGAAGCAAACAGACAAATCCAGATGGAGGACATTATGTAGAACAACTACTAGTCCAGTTCTTAAACAGGCAGTGCTAGGAACTGGGGGACAGGAGAGTAACTCATGGTTGAAAGACTTAAGTAGTAACCAAATGCACTGTTTGGTATCAGTTCAAACAAACAAGTCGATTTTAAGACTTTTTTTTTTTTTTTTTGAGACAGTTGGGAAATAGTTGATTTTGTTAGGTTTAAAGTGGCATTGTGATTATGTAACAAATGTTCATATACTTCAGAAATACATACTACATATTAAATATGTAGGGGTAAAAATGAGATCTGGGATTTATTTTCAAGCACTTCAGCAATAGCAAAAAGGGAATAGTTACAGTCAGCATGCAAAGCCTTTACATCACAGAGCCTAGTGACAGGTGCCCTGGGGTTCAGTGGACTTTCCTCTTTTTAAACAGATATATATTTTATTGATTTTTTTTTTTTTACAGAGAGGAGGAAGGGAGAGAGATAGAGAGCTAGAAACGTCGATGAGAGAGAAACATTGACCAGCTACCTCTTGCACACCCCCTACCGGGGATGTGCCCGCAACCAATGTACATGCCCTTGACCGGAATCGAACCCGGGACCCTGCAGTCTGCAGGCCGACACTCTGTGCCAAACTGGTTAGGGCTGGACTGTGCTCTTTACTTTGGGTAGGTTTGAAAATTTTCTAAAAGTTAATTTTTAAAAACTTTTCATTCTAAATACATAGGATGCAGTCCCTCTTTCATGTGCTTTCGATGGTGTGACTTTAGTAGGGTCCCTTCAGAAAAAGCGTTCCCCACGTGGAGCAGAGAGGTTTGATGATGAAATTTGCAAACACAGAATGAAGTTGAAAGAACCGTACTGTGGCCGGGACCGGTTTGGCTCAATGGATAGAGCATCGGCTTGGGGACTGTGGGGACTGAAGGGTCCCGGGTTTGATTCCGGTCAAGGGCATGTACCTTGGTTGCGGGCACATCTCCAGTAGGGGGTGTGCAAGAGGCAGCTGATCGATGACTCTCTCATCGATGTTTCTAACTCTCTATCTCTCTCCCTTCCTCTCTGTACAAAATCAATAAAATATATTAAAAAAAAAAAAAAAAAAGGAAGAACCGTACTGTGAATGTCCATGGACCCACCACCTACATTCCTCTTTCGATGCTTTGCTGCTCACCTATGTCCATCTGATTTCAGAGTAACTTAGTGGCAGGTGTGTTCCCCCTCGGGGCTTTCACCTGGAGCATCAGGTTTACCTGTCACTCCCTCTGCTTCAGGCCAGCTGCCAGTCTGGGGTTCTGAGGTCTTTGGGAATCCCCAGAAGTCCTGCAGCCCTTTCTTTGACACCCCTGAGAGCCAGGTCCGGGCCATCTGGGAAGAACTGGGCGTTGGCAGCAGTGGCCACCTCAATGAGCAGGAGCTGGCTCTGGTCTGCCAGAGCATCGGGCTCGAAGGACTCAAGAAAGAGGTAAGAGGGTTCGGGACAGACCACCCTCCATGACTGTGATGGCCGTGGTTGATGTTAGACCTGGAAAATTCTCTCACCCTGCAGATACTGATTCAATTGTATTAATTTCTGGTCTGAAATTCTTTGGTGACCCCAGTGCTTCTGCTGAAGTCTGCACCCTTGAGGGTCTGTCTCTGACCAGGCATGACCTCAGCCTTACCAACTTCTAAGCACTCAGAATTCTTCTTCCGCCTCTAACACCCTTTCCCCTACCTACGTGGCCTGTTCCACCGCTGAGCCCAAACACAGTGCCCTCAGAGCCTGGCCACACTCCCAACAACTGTGTTCACTGCTCCTTTCCTCCTGCAAGGACCAAGGGGAGGAGGAATAAGCAGTGCCCCTCTTCCTAAAGTGCCCCTCAGCCCTACTGCCCTTCTAGACCATGAACCTCGGGGACCAGGCCATACTCCATACATACATCTTTTCTATTCTCCAGCAAGTCCCTGCCACATTAGACACTTAATTGGTTACTGGTAGAATTTAGGAAGTTCAGGTGGCATCCATTCACAGCAGGATGAGAACTGACCAGATGTGTAGATTTCATAAGCCAGAGCCTGGGAGGCCAGGTGTGACCCAGCAGTTGAGTTTGGATGAGGACAAGCAAACAGCCCCGCTTGGAGAGGGAGGGTGAGTGGGAGGGCGGATGGGTGGGCCTGGATGGTTGTAGCCGCTGGTGGGTAGAGCGTCTGAGCACAGGTGTGGTGGCTTTTGTTTAGGAACTAGAAGATCTATTTAACAAACTGGATCAAGACCAAGATGGCAGAGTGAGTCTTGCGGAATTCCAGCTTGGCCTGTTCAATCACGGGCCTACTTCGCTTCTGGAATCTTCCTCTCCCGTCAAACTGAGCAGGTCCTGGTCTCATTCCCAGGTAAAATGGGACATTTAAGTCTTAAATACAATATTAACTACTGTCACCCTCTGGCCTTCAGCATTTTTCCCAGGCCTGACCCTTCTACCTGTGTTACCACAGTGAGCCCCGGCAGTTAGTAAGTGGGAGGCCTTGTGACTTAGACTCTAGAACCACACAGATCTGGGCTTGCTTCTTCTGAGTTGTATGTCAGTAGATGTTACCTTCGCTGAGCCTCAGGCTTCTTATCTGTGAAATGGGCACCCACACCATTGGGGTCTTATGAGGATTCCGTGGTAGTTCTTCACTGTGTCTCCTAGTATGGGAAACACTGCTCCAATAAGAGAACCCCCTCTTCCTTCTCCTGAGCAGTGTCACGGGAGGATGCTGAATGGCCCTAGGATTACCCTCCAAGTGCTCATCAACCTGTGTTCTCTGTCCTCACATATAATACATCACCAGGTGTCTGCAGTTGGAGGAGAGCAGGTTTCAGGCAGCTGTGATTTTGTTTGGTGCCTGTTGGCCTAGTACTTGGTTTTCTCAGCCCCAGGACAGCAAGGCCGCCCTCTCCCGCCACAGGCAGGCGTTCTGGGAGTCTTCCTGATACTTCTTTGCTGACATGGCTGATTCTGTGTTTTGTGGATGATGGTGCAAAACCAGTAACATTGTTCTCTGTCAGGCGGGGTAACTTGAACATCAGGTTTCTGAATCTGAAGTCGGAAAGAGCAGACAAAGAAGAAACTAGGAGTGTTGTCAGGCCACGTAGGGTCAGAGACCACAAGGAAGTCCCACAAGTCATGCACAGAGCCTCTTGCCATGTCCTGAGATGGAGGCACAGTTGGAGAAGGCCTGAGCCACAGGAGCAGGTGCCCGGCCGGCCGGGACCCCACCGCTGGTCAGATGCCGGTGGCCAAGTGAGACCTGGCTGTCCAGGAAGACTGTCCAGGCTGACAGGGCTGTGGGGTGGAAGGTGCCACGTGGACTCTGTCATCACATGGCAATGCTTGGCTCTCAGATGTGTGCCACAGATGGAGATTTGCCTCAGCCCCGTCCACCCCGCATGGTGGTCCCTGTTCCCAAGCTCAGTCCTCAGAGGAAGCAGAGGGGGCAGACTAGGGTGGTCTGGGTGCATTTGGGTATCTGAGTTTGTCTGTGGTGGCCATGCATTCTTGAGTTGCCTCTCCCCTTCTGTAAACAGGACACTGTGTAGGGCTGACAAGTGCCCGGCGCAGCGTAGTGAGCACCCAGTCCTTAAGTAACTGGGAAGTGGTGGGGGCACAGTTGAGGGTAGCCGAGGGCAGGCAGCATAAAGGCAGTGACCCCCTGCTAAAGAAGTGAGTGCTGCTAGGGAGGAGGTGGGCTGGCAGGGGCTCGGCCCGGCCCAGGGAATGGCATCTGAGTTGGGGAGCGGCCATGGAAGCATTGGGGGAGTGTTTTAGGCAACAGAACAGGCTTGCAATGTTCAGGCCTGTGAGAAGGGGACGAGAGAAGACTGGCGGGGATGGTGTCCTGCAGGCGTAGCAGGATCCCTGGTGGCTGCAGGAAAGGTGCTACTGCTCATTCCTGTGGCCCCAGGCCGCAAATGCTTGTTCTGAAGGCAGAAAACAGCCTCCTGGCCGGGGCAGAAAACAGCAAGGAAAGTAATCTTGCCTTGTGGATTCTTCTAGCACCTAAGCTTAGCAGGTCAGGTTTCTGGCCAAGAAGTTTTTTTTAATCCTCATCTGAGGATATGCTTTTTGACTTGAGGTGGGGGGGGCGGTTTGCCTCCTGTATGCGCCATGACCAGGGATAGAACCTGCAACCTAACAGGGAATCTAACCCACAACCTTTTGGTGCACAGGATAATGCTCCAATGAACTGAGCCACCCGGCCAGGGCTGGCCAAGATTTTTTTGCCTTCCTCTTAAAACTCCCTGAGACTGTTTCTGAGGAAAAGCTCGGGCTGCCCCACCTCCTCTCTTTTACTTGTCTTGGGTTTCTTTCCACAGACTGCACTTCCTAGAGCTGGCATGTGCCTTCTTGGGCTCTTGTGAAGCCAGGCGCACACCATTACTGGGAGAGGTATGAGACTTCATGTCTCCACTAGGCGGTGCGTGCCGACAGGCCAGGCCACCAGGGTGCTGGGACATGCTCCTTGCACAAGGCCTTAGTGGATGGTAGGAGAGGAGGTACCCAGGGTCCTTAAGAGAGAGTTGATCTGAGTATAAGGAGTCCTGGGTTCAGATCCCCACCTTGCCACCTGCAATGCCATGTGATCTTGGGCACGTTGAGCAATGGTGCCGTGCCTTCGTTTCCTTGTCTGTGGATGGTTCCTATCAAGCCTCAGTGACCCGGTGAAGAGCCAGCCCAGCTGGCGAGGAGGGAGAATGTTAAAGATGAACTGGAGGCCCGTGTGCTCACAGCTTCTCCCTGGTTCCCACACAGGTCCTGGAGGATGGGGGCGGCCACACCACCACGACGTCCTCCCTCGTGTCCCTGTGCTCAGGCCCGCGCCTTTTCTGCAGCGTGGACAACGGCTCCGGCTTCGCCTTTCCTGAGCAGCTCATTGCCCTGTGGGCCCAGGAGGGGATTCAGAATGGCAAGGAGGTCCTGCAGGTATGGAACTGGTCACTCGCAGCTTGCCACACCGGGAGGCACCCAGGCTGTGTGGGGCCATCTGCCCACAGAGGCGGCCGGGCAGAGCACCCTGCAGACACAGAGTGTGGAGACCCCCATGTAGGGAAGGAAGGCCACTTGGAAGCACTTTTCTCTTTATTTTTCGCTGTAAAAAATATGGAAATTTTCACTTAAAAATAATAGAAAGCAGAGGAACCATGCATCCATTTGAAGGTAGGTTTGACTATTCTAGGCATTTCCCCCAGTGCTTTTCAGCCTTGGAGACATCTGCTTTTCCGGATGAAGGAGGTCAGTCCCACAGACAAGGTGGTGCAGATGTTCTCTTCCTGGCGGAGAAGTCTGAGTGAGCATCACTCTCCGAGGATCTGCACGTCTCCTCCCAGAGCCGCCTGCCCAGCCTGTGGAGCTCTTCTCCCTGCTTGGCCCCCACGGGTCAGGCTTGTCCCAAGCTCCCCTGCTCTTCCCGTTGCTGGTCCAGGGGACTGTCCTTCCTAGGGGCCAGGCACACCTCCCCGAGGGCCACAGGGTCAGACCCTGGAAAGAATGCTGGGGAAGGGTGGTGAGCGAGACTGACTATTTTCATTTCCACGTTCCACTTCCTGTTGTTAAAAAAGTGACAACTCCATGGAAGTCTGTGATACAGTGAAGCCTGCCTCCCCCGCTTTGCTCCCATTCTCCAGGAGAGGCAACAGCTAATGACAGTGGGCATTCATTCCACAGAGCTGCTCTCTGGCACAAAAAAGAAATATATATTTAAACAACCCAGTTAAATTTTTTTTAATAAAATTTGTATTATATCCTGTATCTTGCTAATTTGTGTTATTTTTTCTTTATTGTTGTTCATGTAGGTTTTTCCTGGTATAAATATGGTCATTTAAAATGCTGGTATAGCCTTCTGCTTTAATGCTGGCATTTCTGTAGGATAGAGTCCTGACCTTTTGATCCTTTCTGTCATATTGCCTCCAAAAGAATGCCCTTATTTTATTTATTTATTTATTTATTTATTTAGGTTTTTTAATCCTATGTGAGAATATTTTATTATTTATTATTTATTTATTTATTTTTTTAATTTCTTTTTTGATTATGGTGTTACATATGTCCTTGTTCCCCCATTTCCCCCCCTCACCCTCCCCTCATGCCCTCACCCCCTGTTGTCTGTGTACATTGATTATGCTTATATGCATGCATATAAATCTTTTGGTTGATCTCTCCACCTTAGTCCCACCTTCCCCTTCCTTACCTCTGAAGTTTAATGGTCTGATCAATGCTTCTCTGTCTCTGGATCTATTTTTTTTTTAAAATATATTTTTATTGATTTTTTACAAAGAGGAAGGGAGAGGGATAGAGAGCTAGAAACATTGATGAGGGAGAATCATCAACCAGCTGCCTCCTGCACAACCCCCACCGGGCATGTGCCCGCAACCAATGTACATGCCCTTGACCGGAATCGAACCCAGGACCTTTCAGTCCACAGGCGGACGCTCTATCCACTGAGCCAAACCAGTCTTGGCTGGATCTATTTTTGTTCATCAGTTTATATTGTTCATTATATTCCATAAATGAGTGAGATCATGTGATACAAAAATGCCTTTATTAGCACAAACCAACAAATGTGAAGGAGCCCAAAGACAGCCTTTAAGATAGTCTGCCTAGTTCCTTGGGCCAAATCCTCCTGGGCCTAAACTCAGCCTTTGCCAAGTCTGGCCACCCAGCAACCTTGGGCAGAGCCCAGATGGCAAGGCCAGACCTGGACAGCTGGCCCTCAAAACAATTCTAAGAACTAGAAGCTGAGCTTAGATCACAGAAATTGGCCCCCAGGAAGGGCAGAGAGAAAAGGGACTCAGAGTTTTGAAATTCTCCCTGAAACCTTGTTCCTGAGTCCCAGTATTTGGAGGTGGGCTGACTGCCATCATAGCCTGACCAGCGGAGAGTCTCAACCTTGCCTCTGACATTTCAGAATTTACTCTTATTGCTTTCTTGTTATTAGAGCATATTTTCCCTTCTAAAACTTTTTTAAAAAAATAGATTTTATTGATTTTCTTACAGAGAGGAAGGGAAAGGGATAGAGATCTAGAAACATTGATGAGAGAGAAACATTGATCAGCTGCCTTCTGCACACTTCCTTCTGGGGATGTGCCCACAACCAAGGTACATGCCCTTGACCGGAATTGAACCCGGGACTTTTCAGACCGCAGACTGATGCTCTATCCACTGAGTCAAACTGGTTAGGGCGTAAAACTTTTTTGTTTTTAATTTATTTTATTGCTTAGAGTATTTCAGATGCCCCCCCATTTTCCTCACTTTGCCCCATTCCACCCATGTCTTACCCCACCCTAGGCCTTCACTGTCTATTGTCTGTGCCCATGGGCTATGACTAGTCTGTACTTCTAAATTCCTTCACCTTTTCACCCATCCCCCTAACACTTCTCCCATCTGGCAGCTGACAAAATGTTTTCTGTATCTAGGAGACTCTTTCTTTCTTTCTTTCTTTCTTTTTAAAAAATATATTTTATTGATTTTTTACAGAGAGGAAGATAGAGAGACAAAGAGCTAGAAACGTCGATGAGAGAGAAACATCAACCAGCCGCCTCCTTCACAACCCCCACTGGGGCTGTGCCCGCAACCAATGCACATGCCCCTGACTGGAATCGAACCTGGGACCCCTCAGTCTGCAGACCGACGCTCCACCACTGAGCCAAACCAGTTTCGGCATAGGAGACTCTTTCTGTTCTGCTTATTTTTACTTTGTCTTTTAGATTCAATTGCTGGTAGATATGTATTTATTGCCATTTTATTATTTGTGCTTTTCATTTTTATTTCTTCTCCTTCTTCTCCCTTCCTCTTTAAGAAGACCCTTTATCATTTCATGTAATACCAGTTTGGTGGTGATAAACTCCTCTAGCTTTTTCTTGTCTGGAAAGCTCTTTATCTGACCTTCAGTTCTAAATGATAGCTTTGCTGGGTAGAGTAATCTTGGTTGTAGGTCCTTGCTTTTTATCACTTGGAATATTTCTTGCCATCCCTTCTGTTCTGCCTGGTTTCTGTTGAGAAGGATGTCAGGTGATGGGACTCTAGGTGCTCCAGGCTATTGTCTGGGTTCTTTTCCATCCCTCTGCTTGCTTCTTGGCTGTGTTGGCGTCAGGTCAGGGTTCCCTATGAAGCTCCCCAGTCCCACAGGTCCTTACAGCAACTGACTTCACAGGGAATAGGGCCTGTCTCCTCTATAGCCTGTCAATCCCCTTGAGTCCTCTGCTTGAGGCATGGCCCCTTCTGTCTCAGTCACTTTGCCCAGAGAGGGAAACTCTGGCCTGGGTCACACCCACCGCTGAGCCAGGGACCATGAAGGGGCCAGATTTGGGAACTGATAGGGTCAGGGAGAGTTGTATGGGTGGGGGAGAGGCCTGTCCAAGAGGCAGACTTTGCTGATGGAAAAGTGGTAGATGCTGCCTATGGGACAGCATGGATCACGGCCTGGACTGTCCCTAAGAGAGCCAAGAAGGGTCTAGAGAAGCCACTAATCCTGTTTTGCCTGATGGGTCTTGCTTTTTCCAGAGCCTCGACTTTAGTGTGGAGGAGAAGGTGAACCTTTTGGAGCTGACCTGGGCCCTTGAGAACGAGCTCATGATGATCCCCGGTACCACTCAGCAGGCTGCCTTGTCCTGCTACCGCCAGGAGCTGAGGTTCTGCCAGTAAGAGCCCCCGTGTGCTTGGGGTGGGTCTGGGAGTCAGCTGGCTGGTCTGGTCAGGAGAGGGGAGTGCAAGAAAGTGGCACGCTGCCCTCGTCCACCCCAAATGCCCAGTCCCGTGAGTGGGGGGTCTGCACCATCTTTCCCACTGACTTTCCTCTAGCTGGCGGCCGCAGTGGGACCAGGAAAAGCTGAGCCGTGAGAGCAGGACGAGGGGTCCCTGTCCCTCAGGTTTTGTCCATGTATGTGGTTTCAGTGGGGCCTGAGGACCCAGTGAACTGCTCAGTGGTCGCTGCTGGGGCTTTTGTGGCCACAGAATTTAAGGGGCACTGGCCTTCTCTCCCACTTAGAAATCGATGCCAGTCATCTCTTAGCCCCTTCTAGCAGTCCCACAGAAGGATTTGAACTTGACCTCATCCTGCGTATCCTGGAGCTTTCGCAGCAGAGAGGTGGAAACCCTCCATCAGCAGGTTGTGCTTCTGAGAACAGCCAGAGGGCACTCGGGTTTGGGTGGCTGGAGAGGAAAAAGAAGTATTCTTTAAACATGGCCGCCAAGTAACAGGCTAAGAATGCATTCCACTTTAATTGGGATCAGCGTTGGGTTCGCTGAGTATTTAATCCATTGGGGCAGGGGTGGGGGATGAGCTCTGTGCTCCCTCAGTGGGAGAAATAGTCGCCAGAATATGAGTGCCAGGGGTGAATTGAGAGCCTCTGGGGGGTGAGGTGGGGTGAGTGAACAATCCAGGGCCACACACACAGGTGGCCTTCTCTCTGGGCGACTCACCTTGCACTCACTCAGATGCCAGGCTACAAGTGTCGGGGCTATGGCCAGGCAGGGGACTGGTTGGCCACTCTGCTCCCCTCATGTATCCAACCCCAGGTTAGGTGCTGAGGACACCTGGGGTTTAAGTCCCCACTGGAGAACTAGGGGGACTCGGATGAATTCTCACCATTCGTGGCCTTCTGGAGGTGTGGCACACTGTAAGCCTGTAGGCCGGACTTCTTTGGTTGAGAAACCTTGTAGAAACTTCCCTTGGCAAGTCATTTGCCCTCTCTCAGCACTGGCACAGGCCTCGTTAGGAGGTGGGTGGTGGCGGCGTGGGTTAGAGCTCGGCGCTGGACCCTGCCGTGCACTCAGCGAGTGCTGGCCCTTTCATCGTTCGTGTCGACCAGAGCTCGCTGGGCCCAGCACGCGTTCTGTTAACGGTGTCTCTGTCCTGCGCAGGGGGCAAGTAGAGCAGATGGTGAGGGAACGAGACAAGGCAAGGCAAGACCTAGAGAAAGCGGAGAAGAGGAACCTGGAGTTCGTGAAGGAGATGGACGACTGCCACTCTGCCCTGGAGCAGCTCACAGAGAAGAAGGTCAAGTAGGTGCTGCCCCTGGTGCCCGAGCCCGGAGCTGTGCTCCTCGCAGGGCCGCAGCTTCCCGGCCAGAGCCGAGGGCGAGGTGTGGACGGAGGGCGGCCACCAGCGGAGGCTGTGGTCACGGTCATGGCAGAGCCGCGGCCCTCCTGACTCACCTGAGCCAGTAGAAATCTAGAAGACACCCCTTTGGGGATGCCCTTCCTTGAAATAAGAGAGAGGGGTGGCCTTACCAGCCAATCAATGATTCTCCCATCATTGATGTTACTATCTCTTCCTCTCTGTTGCTCTCTGAAAAACAATAAAAATATATTTAGCCCAGTCGATGTGATTCTGTGGTTGTGCGACAGCCTAGCAACCAGGAGGCCACAGTTCGGTTCCCGGTCAGGTGGCACGTACCTGGGTTGTGGGCTCTAGCTCCAGTTTGGGGTGTGCAGGAGGCAGTCAATCTATGATTCTCTCTCATCATTGATATTTCTTTCTTTCTTTTTTTTAAAATATATTTTACTGATTTTCCACAGAGAGGAAGGAAGAGGGATAGAGAGCTAGAAACATCGATGAGAGAGAAACATCAACCAGCTGCCTCCTGCACACCCCCTACCAGGGATGTGCCCACAACCAATGTACATGCCCTTGACCGGAATCGAACCTGGGACCCTTCAGTCCACAGACCAACGCTCTATCCACTGAGCCAAACCAGATTCAGCTCATCATTGATATTTCTATCTCTCTCTCCCTCTCCCTTCCTCTCTGAAATATATATATTTAAATTAAAAATATATTTTAAAATCTCAAAAAAATAAAATAAAAATGGCCTTGCTCTTTATGACAGGTGCATGGTGGAGGCATCTAGCTGTGCTTGCCTGTTAGCTACAGGGAAAATTCCTCTCTGCTTCTCTCTCTGCTCTACTACTTCATTTATGGGGTCTGTCCCACTCAAGCCAAGTGTTCTGTGTGTCAGTAATCAGTGAGACAGATGGACATTTTGAGACAGGGCTAGTGGATGGCTTTGAGCTTATTGGCTCAGCAAGAAGGAGCCTGGCATGGTGGAAGAAGCTCAGAGCTCGAACCCTGACTATAGGCATTGCCCTGGGCAGACCCCTGGGGAATGGTCTGCACTGCTTGAGGGGCTGACAGCTAGACAGACGGTACAGTTCACTTGCACAATCACTGTGTGGCCTGAGGTTTAAAGCCCAGGTCCTCTCTCTTGGTCTTACGCTGCTTCTGAGAGAGCGTAGGCCCAGGCCTGCTTTATCCTGGGGGTGTAAGCAATGGGCCTAAAGCGAAGAGGAGCCCTAGGAGTAGAGAGCTCATCAGTGTCCCAGGATGGGGTTGTCCAGTCACATAACCACTCTCCTACGTCAGCTCACAAGAGCCCCATCAGCTCCCTCTACACAATCCATATACTCAGAGTTCGCAGGGACAGCCCTGGCTGCCCCTCATAGAATGGCCACCTTTCCATATATCACAGTCTGTGGGGGAGTGGGCTCAAATCCGCATCCACATGCTTCCTAATTCCAAAGGCCTGGGTTCTCTTTTCCTTCCTGGGGGTGGCTAGGGAAGACCAAGTGCAGTGGGTTGAGATACCTGTCTGCTCACCAGTTAGAATCCTCACCTACCTCTGCGGGTGTTGAGAAGGCATACGTGAGAGATTGCATCAAGGGATGTGAGTGCGAGAGAGTATGTATCGGTATGAGTGTGAGTGCACGAGTATGAGTGAGTGTGCAGGTGTGGGTATACACACATGTGTACTCACTTCCACCAGCTCCTGTACTCCTAACAGGATAATAGTAATTTTCAGGAAAGCTACAAATTGATCATCCTTTCTCCAAACTCTTAAAACTATTTCCAATCAAACTTGAGAACTAAATAAATATGGCCTCCCTCACTATAAAGTGGTGTCTGCAAGGCCAGGAGCCCCAGTGTGGAGAGATGGCCATGGACACCTTTTTTTTTTTTTTTTTTTTTTTTTTTTTTTTTTAAATATATTTTATTGATTTTTTACAGAGAGGAAGAGAGAGGGATAGAGAGTTAGAAACATCGATGAGAAAGAATCATCGATCAGCTGCCTCTTGCACACCCCCTACTGGGGATATGCCCACAACCAAGGTACATGCCCTTGACCGGAATAGAACCCGGGACCCTTCAGTCCGCAGGCCGACGCTCTATCCACTGAGCCAAACCGGCTTCGGCAGCCATGGACATCTTGACTTCCGCCTAGACACTGGCCGCGGCCTTGCCGAGCCGCTCAGTGTGGAGCATGTGCAGAGTTCATCACAAAGGAGCATGTGGTTAAGAAATTACTGGGTTTTGTTTCTGCTCTTGTCAACAGTCAGCGTTCAGCTGGTTCCCTTGCAATGTCTAGCCATAAGCTTCCCCATTTACCACTTCTTGCTGAGCAAGTTCCTATGGGTGGAGCTAGAAAATTCAAAACCATTGATTCTTGTAGCTACAGATGTTTAACTTTGCTCCTCTGAGCTATTATCCTTAGTTCCCTGACTTTGCAAAATAGGGTGTAAGGAACTAAAAGAATCTTGAAAGAAGGCAAGAGTGCAATAGCTGGCACATTTCCCCCTTTCTTGGCCCTTATTCCAGCCTCCTAATGGCCCTTTTAACAAGATGCTGTCATCAGCCTCATATTTGGAAATCTTGGTATCTCACCTGAGCCTGTGCAGGACCTGTTCTAGCCGCCCCGATTGGTGACACCGAGACCTTAGGTTGCTGGCTATTTGGGACCCAGGGGAGGCGAGGGTCCTCAGGGCTTCCGTAAGCTCTGCAGCAGCCCAGCTTCCACAGAGTGTTCTCCGTGCGGCACTGCCAGCTCCTCGGCCCCCAGTGTTGTTCAATAAGAAAACGCCTTTTTAACAATCGCATTCCAGCTCCCAGGAGGGGCCCCCACCGTCAGGTCCAGGAGTAGGAGTTAAAGGAGGCCCTGGCCTCACATCACATGCCATCTAACAGAGGAACAAAACCCCATCTGTAAGCAGGAACTGGAGTCCAAGACCTCGTGCTCGTGAGGGGGAATCCCAGGGGATGAAGAGGTCTTGGCGGCGGGAAAGGGTCCCTGGCGAGGCAGGAAGCCCAGGGTGATGTGTGGTTGTGCCTTACAGACACCTGGAGCAGGAGTACAGAGAGAGGCTGAACCTCCTGCGGTCTGAGGTGGAGCTGGAGCGTGAGCTGTTCTGGGAGCAGGCCTGCAGGCAGAGGACCATGCTGGAGAGGGACCTGGAGCGCTTGCAGGCTGAGGAGGCCAGCCTCCGAGAGAAGCTGACCCTGGCTCTGAAGGTAGGCAGGGGGAGTGGGGGGGGGGGGGACAGAGGAGGGGAAGGGCTCCTCTACCGGTCACCCACCCAGAAGGAAGAGATAGAAATGAGTTTACCTGAGGGTTCCTCCTCCCACACCCCACATTTTCCTAGTCAAGGATTCAACACCTTCTAGAAGTTTGCCTCTCTCTGTTAGGAAAATCCCCAGGATTTCAAACTGAGGAACGTTTGCCATGGAGATAGCACATTTCTCAGCCAGAGCAGAAAGGGTCCCCCTGCGCCAGGATCGGCACTCCCCCTGCGTGCTCTCTGGTCACAGGGGCAGCAGGCCAGGTGGGGCCCAGTTCTCTGGGTCTGTGGGCCGAGGTTAGGAAGGGCCAGCAGCCCTGGGGACCAGAGCACCCGTGAGGTCAGCAAACCCAGGCCCACCTGCTGCACGTGGGTGCGGCCCGGGGCACAGGTGGTTTCGGGGCTTTGGTGAGTATCCCTCGACTCGCCATCATCCTGCACTTGGGTTCAGTGGGATGTCCCCTGCTCCTCCTGTGCCCCTGCCTTCCTCTCCTCTTCCAACTCAGAGCCTGTGGGTCTGCTCCACCCCGGCCTGCTTCCCTCAGCGGGAGGAGCCAGGCAGCCCGGGGCCTGCACGGCAGTGAGCACAGCCCTGCCTTCTCCGCCTGCCGGGGCTCTCCACCGGCTGTCCCCTCCCCTCACAGGCTGCTGTGTCTGACAGTGCTGCCTTCCTCCCTGTGGACATCTGAGGGGAGTGGTGCAGCTTCAAATCCCTCGTTTAGGAAACAGCTCAAAAGAGCCTGCCACCAGCCTTTTCTTTCTTGTGATACAATGACCTCTGAGCACCTGGAACGGGAGGAGTAGAGGCCCAGGGAAAGAGGGAGCATTGGTGAGGGCTTCGCAGGGTCTGTCCCAGGGTAGCCCTCATTGGCCCCTGAGACGGCCTCCTCTGCACGTCAAGGCGGGCGTGCCAGGCACCACGAGGTTCTTCCCCGGTAATGAGTGCTGCTGGGAGCAGGCCTCTCACTCAGAGAGAAGGGCAGACCTGCCCACAGCTCCCCCTCCCCCTCAGAGCCTGGCAACCGCTGGCCCGTGTCTTGTAGGAAAACAGCCGATTGCAGAAGGAGATCATTGAAGTCGTGGAGAAACTTTCGGAATCAGAGAAGCTGGTCCTGAAACTGCAGACTGACCTGGAGTTTGTTTTGAAAGACAAGGCAAGTTGTTTTGCTGACTTTTAGTCTTGAGAGTCCTGGGGCGCTGGGTGAAAAGTATTAGGGCCTTGAAAAAGAATATCAAGGTGGCTGGGTTTAGTTTTTCCTGTTAAACTTCGGAGAGCAAATGAGCAAGGAGAATTTCCCTCTGCCCGCCGCCCCTCAGGCCAATGCAGGGATGTCAGTCTGCTCCAGGGATGACTTGCATGTGGGCCTTTTAATGGCAAGACCAGGGCCAGCTGGCACCATCGACCCCAGTGACAGACTCTCAGTGATGAGGGACATGGAGGAGAGGGTAGAGTTTGGTGCGCACCATGAGGCCTCCCACCCCGCCAGGCTCTGCCCAGTACCTGGGGAGTAGGCCGGGAGAGTTGTACTGGGGAAGGATCCGGCAGGGGTGTCCCAGGGGGCCAGGCCCGGAACATCCTACTGCCTGAGACCTTTTCAGCAAGGGTAGGACGGAAGTGGAGGAAGGGGCTGGAGGGTGCACTGGAAGTGCTGAGCCTCGGGTAAAGAGCAGGCAGGTGTGACAGCATGCACTCTGCCTGGCCTCAGGTCGTGTGTGTAATTGTCCTTTTCTGATATGACCCTCAGCTGGAGCCACAGAGCACAGAACTCTTGGCCCAGGAAGAGCACTTCGAGGAGGTCCTGAAGGAGTACAAGCTCAAGTGCAGGGTAGGTGCTCCCCTGACCCCTTCACCGTCCTGAGCCTTAGCGTGCCCTTTGTCTGGGACCAGGCTGTCACTTTTGTCTTTTGTGCACTGCGCCATCACACATTCTTGTCCCGGCCCCCTGCCCTCCCCCACCCCCCACTTCACCCCTGAGCTTGAGCCTTCAGAGACCTCCTGTGCCAGAAGGTGTGGTGCCATCTCCCAGCTACTCCTGCAAAGAATGGGGTGCTGGAGCCTATGAGACAGGCTGGCCCTGCAAGTCATCAGGGTCTGTCTGGCTCAGTTCTGGGCTCCATCCCTCCACCTGCTCGGGAGTGGCCTGGCATTCTTGGCAGGGCACACTCCTGGCCTCCACATGAAATGGTCCAGCAGGGGTGGCAGGAGTATCCTCCTCCTAGCAGAGCTGGAAGGGCCTCTGCTCTGGGCCTGCATTTGGCTGACAGGGTCCTCCAAGCCTCTGTTCTGCTAGGAGGGGGAGCAGGACTTGCCTGCACAGCCCTGTGTTTAGCCCCGAATGGGCTGGCCAAGTCATTAGACCAGCTCCAATTGCCAAGGCCCTTCTGTGTCTCCAGGCACCATGAAGGCTTCATCGTGTTTTCTGTGGTTGAGTGTTTAGATTTCCTGGGCCAAACCTACCAATGTCAGTCCGTTTAATTGGAGACACTGCAGTGCAGAGCAGGACAGATGGTGAACAGTGTTAGTGGCACCAACAGATAAAACACACACACACACACACACACACACACACACACACACACACACACACAAGATTAATTTCAGAGAAGAAGGGAGAGGAGAGGTAGAAACATCAGTGATGAGAGAGAATCGTGCCCCCTACTGGGAATTGAGCTCGCAACCCGGGCATGTGCCCTGACCAGGAATCAAACAGTGACACTTCCTGGTTCATAGGTTGATGCTCAACCCCTTAGCCACACTGGCAGGCATATTTCACTTCTTAATGGTCTCTCTCCAAAATAAACTGACTTTTGTTCCTGCTTCACATTGCTTTGGCAATACCAGAGGATAAAGGTGAGGCACGCTGTTCTGGAGTGTGACATGATCTGCTGTTTCCTTCCCTGTGTTCTCACCTGCACTGCAAACCCTGAGGCCTTTTAAAAAAGGGGAGAGAGGGAATCCTGTGTGTGGTCAGCGGTGTCACCCCCTCCTGAGCCAGTTTGCTATGGAGGGTCAGGGCTGTGGGGCTGTCACACAGGGGGGGTGTGCCACACAACCTTCTGCTGGAATTGCGGTTCCATGCTGTGATTTCTCCTCCCTTCAAGTTTGTTGCAAAGACTTAGAACCTATAAGTAACCATTCATTTACATGTTACTTCAGGGCAGCGATTTTCAACTTTTTTCATCTCATGGTACACATAAACTACTAAAATTCTGTGGCACACCAAAAATATATTTTTGTCAACCTGACCAAAAAAAAAAAAAAAAAATAGCTGTAATTTGATTCATTCACATCAGATAGCTATTGTTGTGTTGGCTATTGTCATTCTTTTTTATTGTATAGTCTAAAGGAAAAGAGGTCAGGGCCCCTAACTAAATAGTTAGGTATTCATGTTTAAAAATTCTTGTGACATACCGGTTGAAAATCGCTGCTGTAATCCACTGGATTTATCTAACAAGTATAAACTCCATCTTTCTTTAGCATGACTCTCTTAAATAACTGCTACTCATTTCACATTTGGTTCTTGAGATTTTAGTTTTTGAAACATCAGCAGAAATATTTTACATTTTAGTACTAATCTGATTAGAAATTTTCCCTCTAATTTTTTTGCTATTTCAAACTAACAGTGCATTAAAAAACTTTTTATTTGAAAATAATTTCTAATACATAAAATTACAAAAGTGAAAGTAACGCAGGAAATACAGATTTCCCTTTTCCCAGATTCACCTGTTGTTTACCCTGTTTGCTCTGTCATTGTGTGCTTGCTTGCTGTGTGCGTGTTGGTGTGCACGCTCATGCACGAGCATGCATGCATCCTGATGTGAACGTATCTACATTGTTATTTTCTGAACATCTGAGGGTAAGTTATCTGCATCATGACCCTCCACCCCTACACAGGTCAGTGTGCATTTCCTAAAACCAGGCTTAATCCTAAAACCTTGAAGTGGTGTGCAGGTGCACTAGAATTGATTGTTAAATGTTCAGGAATTTTGCTAGCTTCTTGTTAAACCTTTGATAGCTTGAAATAGGCCAGTGGTTGGCAAACTCATTAGTCAACAGAGCCAAATATCAACAGTACAGCGATTGAAATTTCTTTTGAGAGCCAAATTTTTAAACTTAAACTTCTAAAGCCACTTCTTCAAAACAGACTCACCCAGGCTGTGGAAGAGTCACACTCAAGGAGCCAAAGAGTTTGCCGACCATGGAAATAGGCTATGGTGGGAATGTGCAAAAGATACAAATATGGGATTTTCTTCCTGGAGAGCAAGCTTTCCAATACATTGCAGAATGAGAATATTCCTAGTAACTGTTTGACATCCTTTAATCTGAAACTGTCTTAGTCCAGTCAGGCTGCTACAACAAAAATACTATAGAATGGGGTAAAGGCTGCCTTATAAGTAACATAAATTTAGCTCCCACAGTTCTGGGGGGCAGGAAAGCCCAAAATAAAATAGCAGACAGATTTGGTGTGTGGTTAGAGTTCTTACAGATTGCAAATAGCCGGCTGTTTTCTCAGTGTCCTCCCTGGTGGAAGGGCATAAAGGAGCTCTCTGGGGTGTCTTATAAGGCTCCATCCTGAATATAATCACCTCCCAAAGATCCTACCTCACATAGGATGTTAGCATTTAAGTTATGAATTTGGGAGGACACATTCAGGTTACTGCACATTTCTTTGTCTTTGACATGAATATTACTGAAGAATACAATCCTCCTCCCTTTTAATAGAAACTTTTTCATTTTGTGTTTTTCTTTCTTTTGTTAAAAATTGTTTCATTTTTGTAAAAAAATTATTATTATTATTTGATTTTAAAGAGAGAGGAAAGGAGAGGGAGAGAGAGATAGAAACATCAATGACAGAGAAACATCAACATAGATTGACTAACTCCTGCATACCCCCCACAAGGGATCCAGCCCAAAACCCGGGCATGTGAACTGACCAGGAATCGAACCTGCATCCCCCTGGTGCACTGAGCCACACCAGCTGGGCTCATTTTGTGTGTTTTTTGACACTTTCTTTGGATTAAGTTGAGGTTATACATTCTCAGCTGGACAGCATAGGTGATATTAATTTTGTTCTCATTACCTAATTTTTCCACTGTAGAATTACTGGTGGTAACTACCATGTTTCCCCAAAAATAAGACATCCTCCGAAAACAAGACCTAGTGCATGGAAAGATAAGACATCCCCTGAAAATAAGACCTAGCGCAACTTTGGGAGAAAAAATTAATATAATACACTGTCTTATTTTCGGGGAAACAGGGTAGTAAGCAGCAGTGGGGAGATACTTTAAGAACGTGCAATATCCTGAGAGAATCTAAGATGGCTGCACAGGTAAACACCTAGCCGCAGCCGCACACAACAATTTCAATAAAATACAACTAAAATATAAAATGGACATTACCCAGAACTACAGGAAAGTCGACTGACTGGAAATTCTACAACGAGAAGCAAGGAGAAAACCAGAAGGAAGAGCGGAGGAGCTGTAAAAGCCTAAGGTATGGAGACAGCGCACGCGTGTGCAGAGAGGACGGAGCTGGAGAGGAGGGGCGGCTGAGTGCCTGGCTGGCATTTCCTAGCGGGAAGGAGATAAAAGCTCCGACTGTGCTGAACCTCAGACCCGACAGCACTGAACCTCAGTTCTAGGCTAGACCCTGGGGACCCAGTCTCAAACAGAGGGAGAAGGGCTGTAAGGTGGAATCCCAGGGGAGCGGCGAAAGGCAGAGCCCCCGGAGGCGCCCACATTGCGCGCAGATAAGGGACAGTTGGCTGTGCCGTGGGATTGCCCCAGCGGGAAGGAGACAAAAGCTCTAGACTGCTCTGAACGCCACCTCCAACTCCACTTCCAACTGAACTGAACCCCAGTTCCTGGTTCATTGGGGGAGAGCCTAGACTGTTTGGTAGCAGGCGAAAATCGAGGGCACCTTTCTCTCAGAGGTACTTGCAAGGAATACTGAAGGACCCTGGGGATTACTGAGACTCAGGAGCTGCATAGGGCGGGGCTGACGGAAGCCAAGACTGTAGGCTCCACCCTGAAACCCTGCCCCATTCAAGTATGACACAGACTTTTAAGGCTACCAACTCAGGGAAGCTGCGAAAATGCCGAGACAAGAAAATAGATCACAAACAAAAGAAATGGAGGACAAAAGCGTCTGGATATAGAGTTCAAATCTACGCTTATAAGGTTTTTCAAGAATTTCCTAGAAAAGGTTGATAAGACCTATGAGGATATGGAAAGGGATCAACTAGAATTAATAAGGAATCAAAAAGAAATGACAAGGGATCAACAAGAAATAAAGAATACATTGTCTGAAATAAAAAATATTATACAGAGTCCTAAAAACAGAATGGAAGATCGCAAGAATCAAGTCAAAGATTTGGAACATAAAGAGCTAGAAGATACTCCTCCGCAGAAGCAAGAAACCAAGAAAATCCAGAAAATTGAATATAATTTAAGAAACCTCTGGGACAATTTCAAGCGAACCAACATCAGAATTATGGGGGTCCCAGAAGATGAGAGAGAGCAAGATATCGAAAACATACTGAGAGAAATAGTGACAGAAAACTTCCCCCACCTGGTGAAAGAATTAGACTTATAAGTCCAGGAAGTGCACAGAACTCCAAACAAAAGGAATCCAAAGAAGACCACACCAAGACACATCATAATTAAAATTCCAAGAGCAAGCCAGACTGGGAGCGGCCAGGCCCAGAGCAGCCGGGTCGGGAGCGGCCAGGCCCGGAGCAGCGGCTGCCAGGCTGGGGGTGGCCAGGCCCGGAGCAGCCGGGTCGGGAGCGGCCAGGCCCGGAGCAGCGGCTGCCAGGCTGGGGGCGGCCAGGCCCAGAGCAGCCGAGTCGGGAGCGGCCAGGCCCGGAGCAGCGGCTGCCAGGCTGGGGGCGGCCAGGCCCGGAGCAGCCGGGTCCAGTGCGGCTAGGCCCGGAGCAGCGGCTGCCAGGCTGGGAGCGGCCAGGCCCGGAGCAGCAGCAGCCAAGTCCAGAGCAACTAGGTCGGGAGCGGCAGTGACCAGACCCGGAGCAGCTTGTTGTGGAACGAACCAGAGCAACAGAGGCCTGGCCCTGAGCAGCCAGGCCTGGAACAGCTCGCTCTTCGCCTGCCCCTGCCCCAAGGCTGCCTCTCAGACATGGCTGGAAACTTTTGCGGGAACTTGAGGGTCTGCTGAATCAAGTGATGAAGGCTTAGATCTGGATGTGTTGAGTTAGTATAGGGCTGGGGTGTTGATCTGTGAGTGCCTTGGGTGGGGCCTGGATGAGGCTAGTTGACCTATTTGGAAATGTCTTTTGTGTGAAGTGTATCATTGGGCATGTGGAGGTATTATTGATATGAGAAAAGGCTAAGTAACTGATTTACTATCTGAAAAGGGATTTACTATCGGGGAAAGGGAGGGAAGAAGAGACTGAACATAAACTGTGCACCTATGGATGAGGACAATGGGGGATGGGGATGGGGAGGGGGGTGGGGTGGGAACCGGGTGGAGGGGGGAAGAAATGAGGAACCTTTGTAATAATATGAACAATAAAGATTGATTAAAAAATAAATAAATAAAATTCCAAGAGCAAAAGACAAAGAATATTAAAAGCAGCAAGAGCAAAGAAGGTAGTTATCTATAAAGGAGCAACTATACGATTGTCAGCTGATTTCTAAACAGAAACCATGCAGGCCAGATGGAAATGGCAAGAAATATTCAAGGTGATGAATAGTAATAACCTACAGCCAAAAATAATCTATCCAGCAAAGATATCACTCAGAATCGAAGGCCAGATAAAGAGCTTCACTAATAAAAAAAAGCTAAAGGACTTCATCACCACCAAGCCAGAATTATATGAATTGCTGACGGGGGTTCTTTTGGAAGAGAAAGTAAATAAAGATAAACATTATGAACAACAAATATGTAACTATCAACAAGTGAATCTAAAAACCAAGGAAATTAAAAAAAAATCTGATGAACAATATTAACTGTTGAATATAATAGAATCAGAGGTATGGAAGGGGAGTGAACTGACGATTCTTGTGGAAAAGGGGAGAGGGGGATGTGGGAAGAGACTGAACATAAACTGTGCACCTATGGATGAGGACAATGGGGGGTGGGGAAAGGGCAGAGGGTGGGGTGGGAACCTGGTGGAGGAGAGCAATGGGGGAGGGAGGAACATTTGTAATAATATGAATAATAAAAATTTATTAAAAAAAAAAAAAAAAGAAGAACATGCAATATCCTGCTATTCATCTAAAATTTCCTTTGGCCCTATCTGGTTTGGCTCCATGGATTGAGTGTCAGCCTGCGGGCTAAGGAGTCCCAAGTTCGATTCCGGTTAAGAGCATGTGCCTGGGTTGTGGGCACATCCCCAGTAGGGTTGTACAAGAGGCAGCTGATTGATGTTTCTCTCTCATCGATGTTTTTAGCTCTCTATTTCTCTCCCTTCCTCTTTGTAAAAAATCAATTAAAAAAAAAAAAAAAAGACTAGCCGAAACCGGTTTGGCTCAGTGGATATCGGCCTGCAGACTGAAGGGTCCCGGGTTTGATTCTGGTCAAGGTCATGTACATTGGTTGCGGGCACATCCTCAGTATGGGGTGCGCAAGAGGCAGCTGATCGATGACTCTCTCTCATTGATGTTTCTAACTCTCTATCCCTCTCTCTTCTTCTCTGTGAAAAATCAATAAAATATATTTAAAAAAAAAAAAAAGACTAAAATTTTCTTGGATTTAGTCTCCATTGATAATTCTTGCCCACTCCAGTCTTTACCATGATTATTGCAAATTGATGATTTTCCAGCTTTATCACCCACTCCCCACATGTGTCATTTGGCTCTTGGCATTCTACTATAAGCCAGAGAAGTGTGATCTATCTATCTATCTATCTATTGGCTTGGACTCACGAATTTCTATTTCCCCCTAGTAGTTTGTAATTCATTGTTATGTCTAATTATTTTGGAGCTCAAATTGTGTAAGATCTGGCCAATGGGAGTGTCTTCTGGCTTGCAGCCACGTCCTTGGGACATGTCACCATCATTTGTTTTGTTTTATTGATTAGTTCCATGCTCTCTAGCATCATAAGGAGCTGCAGACTCCTCTTGTACTTTACCTGCACTCGCCCTGGACCAGTCACTTCTCCACGGTGTCCTGGTTTGTTACCTGAGGTATCACAGACCTAGATCTGGGTGCTCGGTGAGCTGGCACAGAGCCTCTGCCTCTTGGCTGAGGGCTTTTTTTGTTTTTTTTTTAAGTTTTTAAAAATATATATATTTTATTGATTTTGTACAGAGAGGAAGGGAAATAGAAACATCGATGAGAGAGAGTCATCAATCAGCAGCCTCTTGCACACCCCCTACTGGGGATATGCCCGCAACCAAGGTACATGCCCTTGACCGGAATCGAACCGGGGTCCTTCAGTCCCCAAGCCAACTCTCTATCCATTGAGCCAAACCGATTTCGGCTGAGGGCTTTTTTTTATAATCAGTCTCCCAGAGTAGAGGTAACCTTGTACCTTCCTTGATGTGCATCACCCAATCTTTGCAAAGTCACTGCTTGGAGTTTCCTTTTATTTTTTAACCAGGACATTTGTTAGCAAGGAAACAATGTCCTGGTTAAAAAATAACCCTTGTCAAATCCCCTTTCTATTTAACTATCATTTTAACTTTTTTGGTGTTTTTTTTTTTTTTTCTTTCTTTCAACTGTCAGCCTCAGTTCTCTTGGTAAGCTGCCTTTGGTAAAAGGAAGTGTGAAATGTTAGTCAGATCCTCCTTGGAGATTATTTGCAGTTAAATGTTTTCACTGTTGTTTTGAGTGGACATCACAATGGAGTAGCACGCCCTTGGTCAGAAACCCCAAATGCAGATTTTTTCCCCCCTGTATTTCCACATACTGAATGTTTGTGTTCCCCTAAATGCATACATTGAACCATTCCCCCATTGACGGTGTTAGGAGGTGAGGTCTTTGGGGGGCTGTGAGGGTGAGCCCAGTGAAGGGGATTAGTGCTTTAATAAAAGGGACTCATCACTTCTAGCCTCCGAAACCCTGAGAGCTTGGCCAGCCTAAGTGCCTCAGTTGGTTGAGTGGCATCCTGTGCACCAAAAGGTTGCCAGTTCGATTCCTGGCCAAGCACATACCAAGCACATATCTGTGGGTTGCAGGTCTGATAGGCAGTCTGGGCATGTACAGAAGTCAGTCAGTGTTTTTCTCTCACATAACACACTCACTCTCTCTCTCTCTCTCTCTCACTTCTCTTTAAGCATGTTCTCAGGTAAGGATTAGAAAGGATGCCAAAACACTGAGAGAAATTTCTGCTGTTTTTAAGCCCCCAATGTGGTATTTTGTTACAGCATCCCAAATGGATGGAGACATGCACCAACCTGTAACACCTTTGCCTCTTTGTGGGCAGGTCTTCAGCTCTCCCCTGTCCTCTCCCCCGACCCCCCACTGTTATGTGTGGCTTTCTTAGGCCCAGCTGGTTGCTCCAGGCGCTGGGCTTAGCTGTTCTCTGGGCGGCCCGGTCTCCATGCCAATGGAGTGGTCACAGTATCTGGAAGAGGTGTCTGGCTCTGCCCCACAGGACCTGCAGGACAGCAACGACGAGCTGCAGGCCGCGGTGGAGGGTCTGCGGGCACAGTTGCCCCAGAGTTGGCACGGCCAGCCCCATGCACAGCCGAATGGACGTCTGCTCTCTAGACACGGCCGAGCAGGTAGGAGCCAAGTCCTGGGAGGTGGCAGTGTCCCTGCTGGGGATGGTGTGGGCAGTGGGCTTCTACCTCCCTCTACTGCACAGGCTGCCTTTGGTTCCAGGGAGCAGTGCTGGGCAGGCCGGCTTCACAGCACATCAGGCCCATGTGACCTCCAGGTGGTCACATGCCCTTCCAACTGCTGCGTGTAGGAGAAGGGCCAGTAACCCAAGGCTAGAGGTTGACACAACACCCAGAGCCCAGAGAGAGGACAGGAGGGCGAGGGCTTTACCATTTGAGTAGGATGCATGACCGTAGGGTAGATGCATCCAACTGACTCTCCAGTGTTGTGAGTGGTACCAGGGGATCCAGGTGAGTGTTCAGCATGGGCCAGACACACAGATGGTGAGCAGGGGGGTTGTCACAGGTCTGACAGCTCTTAGAAAGGGAAGGCACTAAATCATGTCAATGGGTCAGGCACTCCCCGTGTTCACAGGGGCCTCGTATGGACTGAGGTGGACCTTACTGGTGTTTGCTGCCTGGGTTATGTGGATAGCATCACCCTTGAACTCTTGAAGCCAAATCCCAGGTTGGCTGCCTACTGCTAAGAAAGCCAAACTCAGGAGACAGATGCTGGTGAAAAGGGAAAGAGGTTTATTCAAGTGTATCACCTGAGAAAAAAGGGGGAGGGGTTGTGGCAAAGCCCACCTCAGCCTCTCAGTACCCGCAGAGTTTTATAGGGAGGGAGAGGGGAGCAGAACAAAGCGATCAGGAGGAGGGGCTGTGGGCCTGCGGGCGGTGTCCTTGCTGGTCTCCATATGGGTCATTATTGTCCGCACACTGGGACTGCCAGCGCCAGCCAGAGTCCTGCAGTTGGACGATCTGCGTCAACCAAAGTCGTGGTCAAGGCCCTTTCTGTACAGCAGGAGCTGGGACTGCTGGTGCCTGCAGGGTGCTTATAAGGAAACTGTCAGTGTGTGAGCTCCTTTTATCAGTTTGTTTGTACATTTTATTCTACTGCTATTTCATGGTTAGAGTAGATTAAAGTCTTTATTCCCTGTTTTACTCTGGAAGTGCTCCCACCTGCTCAACACAGAGCTGCATGTTGGAGCTGTAACTTGAGCAAAACCAGGCTTCATGCTTCCTAAACAAGCCATAGACGTGGGATGAGCTCCGGGCTCTGAGAGGCTCTGAGGCCCTGTGTGTGGTTAAGTGTTTTTGGCTCCTTTTGAGATCAGGCTGGGGGTGTGGGGTTCTGGATGCCAGAAGCTTTCCTTGTTTTTGTGGTCCTTTTGGAGGTCAGGGTGGTTATGGCTGGTTGCTACCCTTCCTGGCAATTGTACAGGGCGGGTGCCATGCAGGTTCATATGATACATGTGGCTTCCCGCCTGCTGCTGCCCATGGGAGTCAGGACCACAGGGGCTGCCCCACCAGCCAGATTGCTTCCATCGATTGAACCGCTCCGCAGAGAACATGCTGCCATCTGTATCCCTGAGAGCACTCCGAGTTTCCCAATTTGCCTGGGAAAAGCTCACTTTTCAGAAGAAAGTGTGTGCTTACGAGAGCCCGTATGGGAACCTCCACAGGAACTGCGTGGGTTTTCTGTGCACGCGGCCCAGCTTCCTTGGCCCCTAAAGAAACCTCTCACCTGCATCTTCTTCTTTTTTTTTTTTTTTTTTTTTTTTTTTTTAATATATTTTATTGATTTTGTACAGAGAAGAAGGGAGAAAGATAGAGAGTTAGAAACATCAATGAGAGAGAGTCATCGATCAGCTGCCTCTTGCACACCCCCCACTGGGAATATGCCCGTAACCAAGGTACATGCCCTTGACCGGAATCGAACCCGGGACCTTTCAGTCCCTAAGCCGATGCTCTATCCATTGAGCCAAACCGGTTTCAGCTCACTTGCATCTTATTTAGTGGAATCTGATGGCTTCCGAGGCCCATAGCCCTGACTGCCCTCAGCGGGGTGGCTGGAGGGGGTGTTACCAGATCCCGGGCCAGGTGAAGTGGGGCCAGGGGGGCACCGCTGAAGCCTGAGCTCTACATGGCGTACACCTCTCATCAGGAGCCGGTGTTCCCGAAGCCTCGGGCATGTCCAGGTCTCAGGCTGTGGCACCCACACAGGCCCCCACTTTGTGTGTCACTGATAAAACCAAACCTCCAGTGTGGCCTTTTTCTTCCCCTTCACCTCTGCAGCTGACAGTAGAAGGTCCATCGGCCTCCTCCAGGGTGGAGGGCTCTGTGTGCTGCTGTAGGGAATAGTCGCAGTGGCAGCCACGTGGGTTATGGTGGCCGGGCCATCAGGGCATTCAGCTGGGGCCGCTCCTGGTGGTCCCATTTATCTGTGCCCATTGGCCAGACCCAGAGGGCAGCTTCTGGCTGTCAGGGCATTGGAATGCCTTCTGTCCTGGGGTGCTTTCTGAGCCCATGTCTCTGTGTCTGTCACTTATTTTCATGGAAAATGATTTGGGAAATGGGAGATGGTGAGGTTAGGGAATGTGTCTTTTCCTCTCGGTTTTCTGACCCCTGGACCGGGCACTGGCCAACTCCAACATTCTGAGAGAACCCTTTGGTGTAACCCCCACATACACATGTTGGGAACGCCTGGTACCCTGGGGAGCTGGCTGTACTTGTGGGCCTGCAGGTGGCCCATTAAGATGAGCTGCCCAGATGTCTGACATTGTCAGTGAGGAGGGTCTTCTGGAAGAAAATGTCGCTTCCCGCCCTAGCTGGTTTGGTTCAGTGGATAGAGCATTGGCCTGCAGACTGAAGGGTCTCTGGTTCGATTCCAGTCAAGGGCACATGCCCCAGAGGGGGGTGTGCAGGAGGTAGCTGATCAATGATTCTCATCATTGATGTGTCTATCTCTCTCCCTCTCTCCCTCTCTGAAATCAATCAATTTTTTTTTTAAAGAAAAAAAAAATGTCACTTCTGTGATCTCACAGAACCTTGACTCCACAAGCACTTCACTCCATTCCTGACTTATTTGCTGAAAACCCACCTGTCCTGTATGTGGGGCATGGATGGGTACCTGCCTCATCCTAAAGCACTGATTGTCACGGAGGTTTGTCTGTGCTCCAGGTCACGCTTTTTCTCTGTTTTCACAGTTTTTCTGTGTATTGGGTCAGGGAACACAATTTAGGTGCAATACCTGTACCATGGGCAGCATCTTTTAGGGAATTAAAGGGCCTGAAAAATCTTTCAGGGAGTCTCCTAGTTATATCTTTTTAAAAAATATATGTTTTTTGTTTTGTTTTTTAATTTTTTACAGAGAGGAAGGGAGAGGGACAGAGAACTAGAAACATCGATGAGAGAGAAACATCGACCAGCTGCCTCCTGTACACCTCCTACTGGGGATGTGCCTACAGCCAATGCCCTTGACCGAAATCGAACCTGGGACCTTCCAGTCCGCAGACCAACACTCTATCCACTGAGCCAAACCGGTTTTGGGCAACCTGGTTATATCTTGGAGTAATCTGTGTTCTGGCAAAGACTCAAAATGTTGATTTCTCAGAGCTCCAACTTTGAGAATGGGCCATAACAGACCATTTGTGGAAAGCCGCAAGGGCCTCCCCTCAGCGCCAGCGGAAGGTGCCTCGGAAGGCTGTGGCTGCCCTGGGTGGTGGAGGAAATCGGGGATGAATCCTCAGTGCTGTCCAAATGTCGGATGGGAGGGTGTGGGCCAGACCTCAGGGCACCTGAGCAGAACATAAACAGAAATGGCCTTGTTTGCAGGCATCATCTCCCTCCTGGGCGATTCCACTCCCGTGAGTCTAGAAACGGAGATAATGATGGAGCAGGTGAAGGAACATTACCAAGACCTCAAGATCCAACTGGAGACCAAGGTCAGGGGGGTTGGGGAGGCCACAGGGAGATTTGAGAACTTCCTGCTGCATGCCTAAAAGCTTCTCTCACTGAGCTACCCGCCCACGTCTGCCTGTGGACCCCCTGCTCTGGAGTAAGCCTGCTCAGGGAAGGACAGTGTGTGGGGAAAGGGAAATAAAGCTGACGTTCAACCTCAAGCCCTCTTTAGAGGGAGATGGGACATAAGGAATAACTAATGGTGGGAGGGAATGGGGAATCACCAGGGCATTGCTGAGGCAGACCTCCCTGCTTGCTCTGCCTTTAGGGAATCCCAGCTCCTGGCTCTGTTCTAGGCTAAAATAACCCTGGAACTGGGGTATTTCGTGGCCTCCTGGCCTGGCCAGCTCTGTCTTCTCAGATGACCAGGTCTCCTGCTCTGTTACTAGATTGTGGTGGGTTTTGTTAAGGGACGACGGTGTCCATGACTTGTTAGCGTGGTCAGATGTCTGGGGCTGAGCAGCCGTGAGGCAGGGCCTGGGGGTTCCCTGGAGGTATGAGCTGGTAGTTGCTATAGTAACCTTGCCCGTGGCTGGAAAGTATTCCTTCCCATTGGAACCGCCAAGGAGTTCAGAACTGCCCTGCCAACCTCATGCAGGCTCCCTGTTCTCGGTGTTGTCACACACTCAGTCCTCGTGCTTCCCGGCCAGGCACCTGGCCCAGCCGCCTCCAGCCTCCCTTCCCCACCTGCCAGATCTGCTTCCTGGGGCCGGTTGAAGGTTAAAGGCTGTAGCTGCCTGGGCCCGTGGGGAGCCTTAGGCATTGCTGGCGTGGCTGTCCCCTGCGCCTCATCAGCTCTAGGCTATCTGCGCTTGGCAGCCTCCTACTTCTGGGTTGCGTTGTCAGTGAGTCATGTTGCGGACCTCCTGATCGACATTGCTCATATTTCTCGTCTCAGGTAAACTACTATGAAAGGGAAATTGAGATGATGAAGACGGACTTTGCAAATAAGAGAAAAGAAATGGAGCAGGCTTTCCAACGTGAGGTCAGTGTGCTGGAGGACCAGAAAGCCAACCTGGAGAAGCTCCACGTGAAATCGCAGGAGGTCATCCAAGGCCTGCAGGACCAGCTGCAGAGTGCAGGCCGCGGCCCTGAGCTGGAGAGGACGTTGGAGCTGAAGAGGGCGGAGATGGAGCTGTGCTACACGCAGGCGCTGTCTGGCCTGGCCCAGCAGCTGGAGGTGGAGCTGCACCAGAGGCATCAGCAGGAGCTGCAGCAGTTCAGGTCCAGCTCCCTGTTCTTGCAGGACTTCATGTCTGGGGTTCCTTGCCAAGAATCAAAATGTAAAGTTGGGTTATGCACACTGTGCAGAACGGCACCCAGAGGCCCTCAAAGAGTCTCAGCTTCAGGGAGTGCAGGGGAAGTGTGCTTGACCCCGAGAAGGTGGCTTCCGCTACCACACGGGAAGGGTCCTGGAGGATCTAGTGCCTTCTGCTGTGGGCCCAGCCGGCCTGAGCCAACTGGAAGTTCAGGGAGCAGAGGGTGGACTGAGCTCCAGAGGGTGGCTGTGGGGACACTAAGAGGCAGTGGGCTGTTGTCCAGGAGCAAGCTGGGAACCTGAGCAGGGAGCCAACCCCTGCTGGGACCATGGGGCAGGCCTAGTGCAGTGAGACCACCCTGGAATGGGCTGAAGCACAGTGGGGGAAGGGCCAGGAGGGGCACCTCAAACCCCACCCGGGCTCACTGGCCCCTGGGTGGCCAGGCATGGACAGCTCGATGCCCTCAGGGAGGCAGAGGCTGAAGTGGCTCTGGAAAGAGAAGAATGACATGGAAACCAAACTTCTGTCCCCGGAAGATGTTCTTTGGGCTCTTGAGGAAAAAGCAGAGTCAGGAGAAAACAGGTGTGGTGTGTTCCATTTTCAGAATGCCAGTGACACCCTCTCACCTCGCTCACTAACTCCGCTCACGTGCCTCCCCCCGACCAGCTCGCAGCGGCTGCCGAGGTGCTTGTGCTGTGGTCCTTAGCCCAGACTCGATCTCAGGCACCCACAGGTCACCCGGCTCCCAGGAGTGGGCAGAGGGGGCAGAGATGAGCCTCTGGGCATCTCAGCTGGCTCTGGTGTCCTCTGCCCTTGGCCTTAGGAAGTTCTTGGTGGTGTCACAAGACAAGACACTGTGCTTGGAGCCCCATTTCACCCTTGGTCCCCTGAGCCCTCTTCCATCTGGCTGAGCAGGATGCACCACTGCGCCCCACCATTGTGTGCACCAGGCATTGTCCTTGACTGCAGGTTTCTGTGCTGTTGGGGCAGCAACAGAGGAGGCCGTCCATCCAAGGAGAGTGCCCTTCTGCTGCTGTGTGCGGGCAGCTCTCTGTGACGGGGCTGGGCTGTCCCAACAGGCCCTGATACTGCTGCAGCCAGTGCCTCAGGGGCAGCCCGAGGTGGGGAGGGGCCTGGAGAGTCTGTTGTTGGCCCGGTGCAGAGAGCCCCGGTGTGCAGCCAGGTCCTCCTCCAGGCTCCCCAAGGGACTCAGGCTGGCACATGCTCTTTCTCAGAGAGTTCTAGGACTTTTCCTGGATTCTAGCTCTTTTCTGAAGCTGCAGCGCACAGCTCCAGGTGCTCTTCTGGCTCCTCAGGAGACAGGGCTGCCCTGGGAGACGTTGTGGGCACTTGCATGCCACAGGGACTGTGTGACATCACTGCTCTGCACGCAGAGCCATTGGGTCCCACCTATGAGGCACCTGCTTCATGTGGAGATGGAAGCTGCCAGGGGCATTGAGTCAGTGGTCCAAGCGAGCAGTTTTAATTCACAGTGGACGGGCTGTCTGAGCGTGATCACAGGCGTGTGGTGCGGTCTACATTCCACGCTCCTCTAGCTGGGACCATGGACAAGTTGCTTTATTGAAAAAAAATAAAAGATAATGTGGGATTTATGATAAACCAAAAGGAATAAATGTCAGTACACACTCAGCTTAACGAAGAAAATACTAGCGGGATGGAAATACTCCCTGGGCACTCCCTCTGGGAGGTGCCTGGCCGGAAGGGGCTGTTCACTGCCATCTAGGCATTGCTCCTGCTCCTGCCTCAGATGTGGGTGTTCCTGAGCAACGTGGGGCCTTGAGTGGCGGACCACTGGGGTTGGTGTGGAGAATTCGAATAGCACAAATCTGGGCCCGCATGTCTGTCCACGGAGAAGCGTTTGAAAGGGACAGCAGAGTAAGATTCCAGGCGCTGGGCCGCTCTGTGCCCGAGCCCCTGGAATGAGGCTGTGGACCCATGCACGGAGCAGGTCCCCAAGGTGCTGTGCTGGGCCCATCGTGATTGGCCTGTTTGGGGGGGACTTGCTATGGAACAGCCGCAATGCTAAGCTCATGTTCACATGTTCATCTCATGCTCCTTGCCTGCTTTTTTGTTAATTCTCACTCAAAGGTTTTTTCCCATTGCTTTTCAGAGAGAGAGAGAGAAAAAAGAGGGAAGGAGAGAGGGGGAGAGAGAAACATTGACATGAGAGACACATCAATTGGTTGCCTCCCTCACACACCCTGGTCCGCCATCATTGACAAGTCCTGGCAGGCTGCCCTGTTCTCTTCCTGCTTCTCCTGACATGCGCATTCCCCGGCCTGTCAGCCCATCACAGTTCATCTCAGCAGGGTCTTGGCTTGTTTAACAGGATTTCGGGGCACCTGCTGTCTGCCAGCACAATTAGGGATTGCAGTTGGGAGCAAAATAGACGTTGGGCGCTTTCATCCCAGTGGGAGCACCACGCTTCCAGCATGTCCCTCAAAAGGAAATGCACCATCTTCACAGGATGAGGAAACAAAGGTCATGCCACTCAAACCAGGTCCATATTTCATTTTTCAGGGACACACGCATGTGTGGTGAAATCCTAAGAGAATATATGGAAATCATCAACCTAAATTCAAGGTGTGGGGTTTCCTGCGAGGCTGGGGTTCAGGTCTGGGAAGACCATATGGCACAGACCCAGCCCCCATCAGGCCGAGGAGACCTACTGTGGCTAACGGGGAGAGAGGCTTGTCTCAGTTAGAGCAGCAGTTGCTAACCAGGGTCCGAGGACCAGTGGTGGTCTGTGAGGTCTGAAAGGTTGGTGACCGCTGGGTTAGAGGGATCTGCAGCGTGAGGAGACAGTCTGTTCTGGGGGAAGGAGGGGAGTTGCCTGCTCTAATGGGTATGGAGAGGGCTTCCTAAGAGCAAGCTGCTGGGGGCCTGGGCAGGGCACAGAGTGGATGAGTGGGCAGAGGAGGTGGCTGCTGCAGCTGCCCAGCAGGAGGTGACCGTGACTGGGCCGTAATGATGGCCGCAGAGGTGCACGATGTTGACTGGCAGAAGTTGGAGACTGAATTGATGGGTTACAGGTGGATTGGATATGGGCAGGGAGGTTGGAAATGGGTTACAGAGAATTAAAGAACTCCCAGGAAGTGCCACCGGGAAGGGAGAAGGAGGGTGGAATTCCATTCCTTTTGAGGAGCCTTTGGTACTGTCCCTTGCAGAGGGTGAGTTGGGTGAAGAGATGGGAATGGATCCCCAAACCAGGGGGCTGGTGTCTTGGAGAAGGTTGCTGTAAGGAGGAAGGGAAGCCTGTGTCAGGAGCCAGAGCCTGAAGGAGCATCCTTTATCCCAGGGCTGGGCCCCCAGCCTGGGCTCCTGCTCTGTGGGGACAGGTCTATCCCCAGCCTATGGGTTCTTGGCCACAACTCCAGTGTGTGGTCTTATAGCCACTTCTCAATAAAGCATCTTCCAAGCCATAGCAGCTACAGGACCCCAGCTGGGCCAAGGTCACACTTGCAGGATCTTAAAGAATATAGGGAGGGTTTTGGCCTTTATCATAGAGGAAGCAAAGTCGAGAGAGTGACATGATTTGGGTCGTGAAGGAATCTGCTAGCAGTTTAGAGAACATCAGGGATGGTTCGTTCTCTCTCTCTCTCTCTCTCTCTCTCTCTCTTCCTCTTGCACTACACATCCATATGCAGGCCCTTCTTATTTTTTCTGAATTTGAGATAATTGCAGATACTTTATTGCTAAAGACTTCAGGATGTTATTTTGTAAGAACAGGGACATTCTATATATTCACAATATCATGATCATCTATGGGAAATTTACATAAATTCAATGCTATTTTTAATTTACACTCCATGTTCAGTTATCCTTAATTATTTCAATGCGTTCTTTTTTAAAAGAAAACTTCATATATATATATATATATATATATATATATATATATATATATATATATTTCAGAGAGGAAGGGAGAAAGAGATAGAAAGATCTGTGATGAGAAAGATTCATTGATTGGCTGCCTCCCGCTTGCCTCTACTGGGGATTGAGCTGCAACCCATTTGCCCTTGACCAAAATCGAACCCAGGACCCTTCAGTCCACAGGCTGATGCTCTATCCACTGAGCCAAATAGGCTGGGCTCATTGAGTTCTTTATTGTTCATACACTCCAGATCCAATCAAGGATTCTGCTTTGCATTTAGTTATCATATCTCTTTAATTTCCTGTCATCTAAGAGACTGTATCAGTTTTTAAATTAATTTTTGTCAGTAAAAATCAATCATTTTAAATGTATAAATCAGTGGTGTTAAACATTCAGTGTTGCACAATCGTTACCACTGTGCATTTCCAAAACTTCCATCATCCCAAACAAAAGCTCTGTGCCTATTAAACAGTAATTTTTTCTAGAGTTGTATTGAGGGTTTTAGCAAAAACATTGATAACCGGTTTGTTCTGGCCGAAACCGGTTTGGCTCAATGGATAGAGCGTCAGCTTGGGGACTGAAGGGTCCCGGGTTCGATTCCGGTCAAGGGCATGTCCCTTGGTTGCGGGCATATCCCCAGTAGGGGGTATGCAAGAGGCAGCTGATCGATGACTGTCTCTCATCGATGTTTCTAACTATCTCCCTTCTTCTCTGTACAAAATCAATAATATATATATATATTTTTTAAAAATGTTGTTCTGTAGTTTTCCTCGAGTGTCTTTGTCTGGCTTTGGTATTAGAATAATGTTGGCCTCGCCGAAACCGATTTGGCTCAGTGGATAGTGCATTGGCCTGGGGACTGAAACGTCCCGGGTTGAATTCCGGTCAAGGGCATGTACCTTGGTTGCGGGCACATCCCCAGTAGCGGGTGTGCAGGAGGCAACTGTTGATGTTTCTCTCTCCTCAATGTTTCTAGCTCTCTGTCTCTTTCCCTTCCTCTCGTAAAAAATCAATAAAAAATCAATAAAAAATAAAAATAAAAGAATAATGCTGGCCTCATAGAATGAGCC